ATTTAGTCGGCGTTGCCTAACATCAGTTCTCCTCTCTCTCACTGCCATTTTATTGCCATAGCAATTATATAGACGCTCGGCTGAATTTTGCCTCCGGCGTCGTCTTTGACGCCGCCATCAATCACCGTATATGTATACGTATCCATACTCATGAAAATGCACGTAGAGAAAATCCTCAAAAAGACTCTCGTGCGCGGAATCGAACTTGGGCCCTCTGAATCGTGAGTGTGCGGCGTTAGCCACTAAGTCACGGAGGAGCACTTCGTTGACCGGTCAAACGGCAAGCTATTCATATTTTTACCGCTTACCGCTGCTGACGGGCACATCGGGGGAAATTGTGTTTTGAGCATTACCAGCAAGATGGCGCACTGAGCGCGCGTCGCCACATCGCGTGGCGGTGCGTGCTCTAATCTCCCACGCGTAATTTGCCCCGCTTAGAGAAAGGGAGCGACGCTCCCTCGCATGCCCTTATCTCGCGGTGGGGAGGAGGAGAGGATCGTACGCCTTGGCTGGCCTCGGCCTTTACCTGGAACGATTCTGCTGTAGTTACCTGGCGCACAAATGTTACTGCAATTGTTGCAGTCTCCGTTTGCGAAAAGCGCTCACTTTTCGTAGACAGCGAAGCAACAACTGAGACGCTTATTCGCGTGCCTGTTAATACGTTTTGTACGTCATTTGTGCGTGAGAAACGTGGGGCACGTTTCAACCTGCTTTACATTTTGCGTGTGAATTTCCAATTTATTGCTATCACGATCATTGTTTTGCCTTTGCGGCAAAACTGTGACTTTTTTCAGACGAGTGCAGCTATCTTAGCGTTAGTAGTCTACGGCTGGCCGTAAATATGGCTGAAAATTAATTTTCACTGAACAAGAGATCAATCGGATAAATCAAGCTTGTGGTGTCAGCACGAGCATGCTTGTATCTACAGTATTGAGTGTTTGTATCACAACTTGTATGTCTACTAATCTATATATTTTTTTTCATATAGCCTCGACGACACTCGAGATGCGTTGACAAGTGCCGCCATCTATGACCATAAAAACGCAACGAAAACTGCCGTGTTTTTTTCGTACATATATAGCAGGAAGTTAGCCAAGAATAAGAAAATCGCTTTTATTTTTATGATTTAAGCAAGATTAAAACTAAAAGTCCTATTGTAATTGTAAGTTTCAATGAGCAACAATAACTAGAAATTAAATTCTTGAAAACATAGCAAGATTATTTTAACGCAAGCTTACAGTAAAGCTTGACATATTCATGTGGTCTTTGGGGGTTGAGTTGGATCTTCTTAGATGTCCTGCTGTCATCTGTAGGTTAAAGATTGACCTATGACTGTGATGAATCTGGAGAATGATTCTATGTGAATTATGCTCCATGCGATTGGCACCATGGGTGCCTTTCGCGGGTTCTGAGCTCACAGGCGACGATACCTGCAGATGGCCATAGTCTTGCCTGGTTAGATTGGGGATAAATTTGGTATTGTGACACCGGATGTCTAAAAGATGTGCGGTTAGGTGTTCCTTGTACTGATTTTGCGAGGCTTCCGTCTGACCGTGTACAGCGACGTGGAAAAGGCGTTTTGCCACCAAGGTGGTACAGCATTTTCATACCGATGCTAAACTAGACTGAAAAAGTTAAGCCATGCTTTACTCTCTCCTTGTTTTCCTTTCTCTTTATCCTCACATTCCCCTCCCACCAGTGTGCTATGGTAGACTATGCCGTGCTTCATTATGCCAAGAGCAGTTTGACAAGTACCCGCTTTTAGCGGTGCATACCCGCCGAGTTTTGCGTCTACGACATCGGTTTTACTCCGACCTCGAAGGGACTGCCATCCGGTTTCAGGGGCGAAGCTCCTTAGGGTGCGGAGCTCTTCTCTCTCCGATGGTGCATGTGAAAGTGCGGTGGATGTCCGCTGGATGGCAGCACTTGTATATGGCGAATACATGATGAAAAGATGGGAGATGACTGTACTTGGAGTGTTCACTAGATAGATGGATGGACTGATGAATGCACAGACAGACAGAGGGTTGGACGCACGTACGGACGGACGGCCACACGAACAGGCGCACGGACGGATGGATGGATAGACAGACGGAAGAGCGGACGCATAGACGGACGCATGGAGGGACGCACGAACGGATGGATGCACCGACGGACACACGGACGGACGGACACATGGACGGACTGATGAAAGCTTCGCCCCACCAATAATCATTCACTCAAGGTTATGTTGTGATTTTATTTCTCGACTTTTACGGTGCAACACGAAGGTCGCCCTTCGTAATGTTCGTCGCTGGAGCTGTTGATCCCAAACGCGTGTGGTTATTTTCCGAGCAGTTTTCTCGATCTGAAAAGCCTCTGCAGGCGTATACGAAGTCGTCCTCGAGCCATGCCATGAATTGATAGCAATGCCGATAGCCCTTCTCGCGAACGGCTTATTGTAGACTCAAGGTTTTGTATTCACACCGCTCACCGTGTTACGTCACAACTTGTTACTGTATCGTCGATTGTTTCGCCCTTGGGGCGAAACTACAACCTTTTTCAGGAAGTGATATTAAAGACATACTAAATGCAGTCGCAATCACCTACGAAGTAATCTTTACACACTACATTTATTAGCCGCAACTATATTAGAATCATAAAAAATGTGTCCGTACGTGTACAGTTTTACAAAAATGTGTGTCCATATTTCTTTAACGTAGAAGGCTTGAGAATCTAGGTCCATGACACCTAAATAAAGCTTAACATGGTATACGATTGCAGTGGCTCGGGCTACGTCACTAACAACGTCATGCAGTGCGTCACCATTAAACGTGACAATGTCGTTTTCGGTTGGAGAAATTCATGGCGTAATAATGACGTGATCATGATGTCACACGATCAAGTAAGTTACTTCGCATGACATTGTTGCTGTGGTCACAGATAGACAGATCCCAGGGCTAATGCGAAACCACGTTATGTGAACAGTCTCAGAGGTGCGGGAGCAATGCACTCAACTGAGAACCTCAAAATTACGCAATTCGTGTCTTTCATACTGCGGCTTCCTAATCAATTGAAACAAGTATGGTGACTCCACTGTACAACCTATAGCGACACGCCGAGGGCTCAGCTGACTTTCGTTGTCAGTTGTTACAGAATGCAACATGCTGTGTCGCGTGGAGTGCTATGGCCCCATCTAAGTAGCAATCCACTATTCAGGAGACATGCACAACGTGGTCCAATGGAATTTTGAGTGTTTCGTTTATTCATAATGCCCCATCCTTGATAGCGCAGTTGTAAGTAGGCGTAATTTGATGGAATATTCCTCGCTGCTGCTATGTAGGTGCCTGGGCAACATCCCCTTTTCAGCCACTGGTAGGACCTAGTAGGTGAAAAAGAAACCATTCATTAGATTTGGAGCGAATAATTGTCCTTGTTCGAGTCCCTTCGAAATTGTCTTATTGTAAACCTAACAATAACGCATCCAGAACGAAGGCATATCTACCTATCTATTTATCTATCTATCTATCTATCTATCTAATTATGTAATCATCTATCTGTATGTCTAATTATATATATATATATATATATATATATATATATATATATATATATATATATATATATATATATATATATATATATATATATATATATATATATATATAATTATCTATCTATCATAGATGTGAATTACAATGAATTAAAATATGTTTGGTGGATTGATGAACTGCCTATTATCAAGATTTTGCAGTCATAACATGATTAACCCAATAGAATAATAAATATTTACATTTTTAGTCTGAGGCTTCCGATGAAATAACCGTGGATAACAGCGTGGAATCGGGAGGAACACCTCGAACGTATACCGTCAAGCCTCATAGTGCACCTTCCAAAATACGTACTGTTTCGCAGAGTGGTCTCCATACTATAGAATTCTATGTTATTTTCCATTCACATGTGAGTATATATGTTTTCGTTCGACGAGATATATGGAGTATTATCATGTCGGGATAGATAGAAATATTCAAAATAAAGCTGCCCCTCCGTAAGGCGGCGCCGTGACTGCAAGAAGGGTCTGTAAGCGCTTTCTGCATCGATTCACTGCATTCGCGTAAAATTTACACCGCTATGTAGCACTGTAATGTGGATTTTCATAATGTCAATCTGGAGCAAGAACAATTTTTTTTCGGTCCGTTGCGGCGGATTTGTATTCAATTTGATCGATCATAAGCGGGTTCACACATTTCAGCGCGAAGTCTCTTCGCGCCTGATTGCCAGCATCCCCAGGTCCTCCAGCACCTCCAGCCAGCACCTCCAGCCAGCGCCTGATTGCCAGCACTTGCCAGCACCTCCATCTCGCGGATTCGGGGGGAAATAGGACAGCCCGCCAGGCCTAGTTCCTTCCGTCATTCCAAGAGCAACCTCAGTTAGCCCCGCTTATCATTGGTTCTGCGGTGACCGCGATTGCAGTGAAAGCGCACAGGGTTGAAGCACGGATAGATTCCGCCATCGGCTTTATACGTGCCGTGCACATAAAGAACGTTTGGTATAATCGCACGCAGAGCATTCCTGTGTTCCGCTTCCTGATTTCGCTTTGTCCCGCCGAACTGTTCAGTCCAGGAATTGCGCGACAACTAGAAATCTTTCATTAGCGAAGTACCTTATAGAACTTTTTCCGCAACTATAGTTTGTCAATGCAAAACAGGATGGCGCCATTGCACCAAAGCACCACGACCTTCTCCTCAACGGCGCGGCCGCGATGTGGCGTGAGGCGAACGTTGCCCTGCAGCCTACGGTGAGAACGGCTGTGGTACTGATTCTTGAAGAAGGAAAAAGGTGCCTAATTTCTGTCAGCCACAAGGCGACACGGCGCAGTGCCCAAGGGAGAAAAAAAAGAGAAACGGGTGGCGCGGACTATACGCTGCGCCCGCTTTGCTGGCCTTCAAACCGGGAGCGGGGACAGCAAATCGGCCAATCATCGGTGACGGCGATGAAGTGGAAAGGAGATGGCCATTAGATCACGTGTTCAAACGTGGCAGCGCCCGTTCGCCGCTGAACCAGAGAGTGTACTCACAGGTTGGCATGATGAGGCGGAGACCAGCGCTGAGTGACGTCAGGGCTGTCTGCAGGCCGACGCCCAATGAAGCGTTGCCCGCGAGCGAGCTCAGAATCGTCAGCAGCTGACAGCCGCTGCCCATGATGACCTGCCGGAACTGGTCCACAGGGATCTGGCGCAGGAGACACTGCAGCACACAGACGTAAAAAGTTGAGGGTGTACTGACAGCCTTGAATTTTGGTTTGTGCTTTAGGTAGTGGTGTCAAGAAACCTAAAACAGGTATTGGGGGGCCTGGCTGAAATGCATCGAATATATTTTTAATATTTCTACCTTAAAAAAAGGCCTTTCAGTTTCAGTAGGGAAGCTTTTAGTAGAGATGCGATTGTAGGTGAGGAGTTATACATTTCACCATCGCTTTAGTGTCCAATTTTTAATGCATTGAAAATGGCTTTCCCCAAGGAGGACAGAAACGGATTCATATTAGGAGCGATATGCAGCCACATTTAGCATATTTTGTTTTCATTTTTTCGAAGGTACACTGTACTTGCAGAGAAGTGCTACTTACAGTCAAGGTTTGCACCAGCTGCGTAACTTGGCTGGTCTGCAACAAAGAGAAGGCACGAAAAAATGACACACGCCATCGTGTTTTTTTTTAATGCAACTCGAACAAAATATGTGGTTCTTTTGGTTTTAGTTGGTGGCTATATTATTCCTGTAATATCGCAGCAATGTTTACTTGAAATAGCTGTCAATTATCAGTGTAACTAATGAAGAATGATTGAATGAGAGGTCACACCATTTTGATCAGACCAAAGTTTTTACAGCCTGCTTTAACAGCTTTGATGTCTGTATACGGATATATCATCAGGGAACAACGCCTTAAATTAAGCAGTCGCTCTCAGAATTCGCTGTTCTATAACAGGCGAAACTCACTGTGGTTGTAGACCCGGCTGTACACACATTTGCGTCAGTTCCAAGGCACTGGGTGGAAGAAATAGGAAGCCAAGGTTAGTCGTTGGAGATAAAACAATCGTTGTTGCTGCACAGTTATGCAAGAAACCAAAGGTAGTGCTTCAAAAGGTGTCGTCTCGGAAACGGTTAAAAGCAGTCACGCCTAGGAACAGGATGCCGAAAACAAAAAGTGTATAGGGCTGAGGAAGATTAACAATTGACTTATTAGGGCGGCACCTCTTCCGCGCAAGAGCTAAGTGCACGGGCAGCAGTCATTCATAGGCTTTTGTCAGTTATGGCCAAATTATTTTATGATGCATGGCTAAGTATGACTGTTGCGCATGTGTGAGAAAAAAAAAGTTGTCGCCTCAATATGTCAGTTGTTATTCTGCGCTGGCCCTGTCCATAGAAGTGTGGCAGCTTGGGCTAGTTGGTATGGCATGACGATAGTTATAGCGCGATAACAAAACGACGACGCAGAGACAAGAAGGACACGAAAGACACGAGCGCTAACTTCCAAATGAGTTTACTTCGCAGAGCACGACAATATATAGAGGAGACAGTAACAATGTGATAAAAACCATATGGCATAAAGAGTATAACTTGAGTAAGAGGAAAACAACGACAAAAACAAAAGCACATAAAAACGGCCAAGAAAAATTTATAAGAAAACGAAACAGAAAAGTAAAGATAATATAACTATTTGCGCGCACCGATACCTTCGAGGTACCTCAGTTCCGTCTCGGACAGAGCCACGGAGGGCTTGGTAATACAAGGCACCTGTTGCGTGCCATCTGCGCGGCCTCGACAATGACTCGGGTGCGCTCAATGCTGTCCAGCTGGTCAGCTGGACAGCGTTGCCTCCCACCTCTTTCTTCTGTTATTCTCTTCCTGCTCTTCGTTGCGTGCTGTGCGATCCCGTGATGTGGTGGAACGTCGGTGCGCTTCCACACCACAGACAGATGTCTTTGTATGTCCTGGGGCGTGGAAGCACGCCGACGTGTGTGATCTGTGAATGTTTATATATGTGTTCGTTCGGAGTCGGCGTAACGTCGCAGAGTCCATGGCCGAAAGGTTTTTGTGTGGTGCGGGGTAAAGTCTCCGCCAATCTCTGTAATATTGCAGGCTCAATTTGCAACTCGGAGCGAAGGGTGTGTAGGGTCCTCCACGTTGTTGCCATCGGCAGCTCGGTAATTAGTAAGGCCTTGAGCCGCCTCATCTGCAAAGGGGTTACCAGTAACACTCTCGTGTCTCGGGGTCCAAGTCATTGTTTTTATGTTCGAAAATTGCGTCGTCACTATACTCTACACCGTGGGTTCTCAAATTTGTTTCCGCAAAACCTGTAGGGGTTGCGTGAAGGATATTCTGGGGTGCCGCGAGTGGCCGGAGCGAATGCAACCCGCTTGCCTTTTACCCCCGGTAGCAACTAATTTATTTATCCAGACAAGTCGATCTGCATAGCAATCAGTTGCATTTCACGGAGCTATCGCACGCCTCATGCATCCGCACATTGTATATACGGATGCGGTGTGTGATGGTCTCACTAACGAAAGGAAAAAAATTAATACAGCGTTTAGGAGATTAGGACAAGAAAGAATGACAGACGATGCGCTGTCGTTGTTCCTTGTCTTCATCTCTTAAGCGCTGTTATTTCCCTTCCGTTATGCAGTACCAACAGGCCAAACGTCACTTTTGCATGGTCTCGCTACTCGGAAACCACGTGGGTCTCCTCTTAGTGAAAGACCAACGTGACAGGAGCACTAAAGACTCGTCGTATGTGCCTTTAATCCGTGGTCTCGCTACTCGTAAACTACGTGGGTCGCCTCGTAGGGAAAGACCAACGTGACAGGAGCACTAAAGACTCGTCGTATGTTCCTTTAAGTCATGGTCTCACTACTTGGAGACCACGTGGGTGTCCTTGTAATGAAAGACCAACGTGACAGGGGCACTAAAACCTCGTCCTATGTGCATTTAAGTCGTCTGGTGCACGTGACGAAGCTTTCACGATTTCCAGACCCCTGGTGGCAGAGCCTGCAAATAGCTTGTGATTCACGCTCGTCAACGTTGAAACCAGTTCGAACGACAATTGTGTAGTCGGTGGGTGCTGTGTTCGACTCGCGGAGCGGCACGCGGGGAAAATGCAAGAATATGTCTTATCAAGAGCAATAAATCAATGGCGACGGCCTTTGATAAACCAACGAGGGAAGAGTTAATACCATCGTTACGCGCATAGGAAGGCGCTATGATATTGATGTTTTGAGGATTTCCACACTGACAAATGAGACGTTTGCTCAGTTTCTGTGTACTGTAGAGAGTTGCTTATACTCAAACAGCCATTTCTGGCATTTCAAAACAACTGAGTCCTGACGACCTAACTTAGTCCTGAAGCCTGCAAATGCTTGCACCATTGGTGTTTCGAGAGTTTAGATTTTAAAAAAAAACATGCCACAACGTTCTCAGACCAGAATAAAAATTCCACGACTGAAACGGCCGTCACCACCTATTGCTCAGTCTAGATTAACCGGCGACCCTTACAGAAAACATTTTTGGTACTACTTACACTGGTGGCGTTTTGAAGACCTGGCAGCTGGATGGTAATTGGACCTTGACAAGTGTCATTCATGGTGAAGAAGTTAGTGGTGTTGCTTGTGGCGGGAAGATTCACACCTGAAGGATTCGGGGACAAACAACAAAAAAAATAAATCAAGTTGAGCCACACAAAATCTCATTTCCTTTCTCGGCGCATAGGCGGCGATACACGAAGCACGATGCTGTGCTTGCTGGCGGTGAACTACCGAGGGCCCGCCTCGACCTTACTGCTCTTTATTTTATATCACCAACAGGCTAGGAGGCACTACCAACTGGTCACATATGTAACTTAGTATATTATCGCGTGGTTGGAGTGCAGGACAGGCGCTACGCTGAAAACACATTGACGCATTTTTGTTGGCTCGAGCTACAAGTGGCACTCTCGTTTCTCTTCGGAGCACACCAAGTTGATTACTACTTTCGGTTTTCCAAACATTGAGAAGGTCATGTTCTGAGGAAATATAACTGGGACTACATTGACTGTCCTGGCGGGAGTTTTTATACTGCATCCCAGATACAGGTGTGATACCGGAGCATAACTTCTTTACCTAATATAATGGCAAATGAACTGTCAGTATTACTATTGCAAATTGATTTTCGTTGAAATAGCAAATGCTTTTTTTTCTAAGCAGCGCCATCTCGCCAAGCAGTTGTAAACGAGTGCTCGTTTCTATGAGCCCTCTCGGATGCGATTTCGCCACGCGACGAAAAACAATGTGAACCCAACATGTACGCCAAATAACATGAAGGCCGTAGTGCGAGGGCCACTATTTTTTTATAGTACACTGTCTATATATTGGCAATAGAACTACCATAGCCGGGAGTTCGATTGCGTTGTTAAAATGAGCAGTCTAGGGAAAACCTAATCGATGTCACAATGAACTCACCGGGGATCGAAAGGCGGCTGGCAATGAGGGAAAGGAGAGGTCCGAGGGCGCTGACAGTGCCTTGTGGTGATCCGTAAGTGTAGATACCTTGTAGGGCGCACTAGAAAAGAAAAAAAAAGACATTTTTGCCGAAAATTTCTATGTCACCATCATGACAACTTCCAGCGTTTGTTCTCGCACAAAGCAGACGACGGACTAAAAAGTGACGAGAAGTAAACACGCTCACTGATATGTCCACTCGACCGTGTGACTAACGCTCGCGTTACTTACAGGCGTGTGACATTTTATAGGGATAACAATTAAGCCAACCCTCCTTCGTCGTTCTGTTTCGTATAAAGTCCCGATATAGACAAGATTGTTTCACGTGTCATATGTTCCATACGGGCGAGTGAAAGGTTGGAAAGGCTGAAAACGGACGCGAGTTGAGCAGACATCAAACGAGATGGCCATCGGTCGAGGGAGCGTGAAACGCCAATTAACTGTCACTATTACAATCTAACATTGGTCGTCGTTGAAATAGCAAACGGTTTTCTTCTAAGTAGCGCCATCTGGCCGAGCAGTTGTAGACGAGTGCTCGTTTCTATGTGGCCTCTCGGATGCGATTTCGCCACACGATCAAAAACAACGTCAACCCAACATGTACGCCAGATAACACGAAGGCCGTGGTGGGGAGTTGCGTCGCTTGGGCTGCACCTGCGAACTTTACTCAAAGGGCGCGGTTACGCGAGCTAATCTCGATTGAGGCTGTATACGGCTCATACCCTCGTACGTATTGCCCTCTCACCTCTTACTTCGCAAAATAGCGACAGAGGACCACAAAAAAAAAACTGTATCGCTCTCTGGAGCATCCGCAATTCCTTATGCCAGTGTTTTCTAGTAAGGCTGAATCGGATCTTAAAGGTTGGTTCACACCGACAACCAGCACCGGTCACGTGACCATTTGCGACTGGCTGCCAAAAAGCGACTGACGTTCACACCGGCACAAGCTGCATGCGAGCGACCGGAAGTCGCGAACCGGAAGAGTCAATTCCGGATCGCGTTATCAGCGAGAACTCTACGGCTATCAGCTGATCAGCTGATATCCGCCAGCCGAGTGAGCAGAGCCGATCAAGCGCACCGCATTTATTGTTTTCGTAGGCCGCTCTCGCGCACCGTTCCAAGCAGCGTCCAGGGAGTTGGATTCGAGGGAAGAAGAGAAACGGTGCTGATGCGCTATATGCAATGGTGTCAGCGCTGGCAGCACGCAAGCCTTTTCTTTTTCATCTTGTATGTGCTGTACTCATTGTATACTTATGTATTCATCACTTTTTTGGCTTGAACGGTGAAAATTATTGTGTTTATTGTTGTGAATTTATATGTATTTATTTTTACTTTATTCGCACAACATATGAAGTGTGAATTTGTGGTGTTTTTTTTCTCTTTTGTTCGGTACATGCGCGATTATGACATAATTTGCTATGTCGCTCCTTGTGTTCACTATGAGTGTATGAAACACTCACCCCAAACAATCTTTATGCCACTTATTGTTTCAACTATGTCCCCTTGTAACTGACCACCTGCTTGGACCTAAGGGTCTGCAGTATGTAATAAAACAACAACAACAACAACAACAACAACAACAACAACAACAACAACGACAACAACAACAAAAAGTGCTGATGGGAACGACCATCCGTTCTCTCGCGAAAGGTGACTGGCCACGCAAGACGCCTGCTTCCAAACCTGCGCTCACACGACTAGGAAGGAGTATTTCCAAGAATAACATACTCAGAATTGCTCCTTGACTTGACTTGCCACTATACCTCCGATGCAGCACAAACGCGTCTCGAACACGCTGCATTGAAGGCGGTGTCAGTCAAGTTCAAGTCAAAGAGCGTTTCTGATTATACAAGGAATATAGAGCATAATTCATTTTATCTGTCTTTTAATAGTATTTAGCTTTTTGCGAATGTCACCATGAACATTCGCCCCGCCGCGGTGGTCTAGTGGCTAAGGTACTCGGCTGCTGACCCGTAGGGCGCGGGTTCGAATCCCGGCTGCGGCGGCTGCATTTCCGATGGAGGCGGAAATGTTGTAGGCCCGTCTGCTCAGATTTGGGTGCCCGTTAAAGAACCCCAGGTGGTCTAAATTTCCGGAGCCCTCCACTACGGCGTCTCTCATATTCATATAGTGGTTTTGGGACGTTAAACCCCACATATCAATCAATCAATCAACCATGAACATTCGACAAATTTGCTCGAGCTGCGCGCGCCGCCATTTCCAAGCCGAGTAGTTCGTGGGAACGCCCTCGTTTCTATCTGGTGCCTGCGGGCCAGCGCAATGAAAACATAAACAGAATATAACAATGAGTATGGACGTAAATAAATGCTGACGTCACTGTTGAGCTTCGCTGATTGGTTTCATATGTTTTGTCGCTGCAATCGCTCGACCGGAAAATCGGGCAGCAAACGACTGGCCAAAGCAGTCGCTTTGCGACCGATGTGACCGTTTGCGACCAGTCGCAAAACGACTTAATCGCGCTACCGGTGATAGTCGCCGTTGTGAACCAGCCTTAATAGAAATGGCTGCTAGCCGTATTCGTATAGTATTCTCATTCGTTTCCACTACAGGTTCTTGGGACGAAAGTGGGACAATTTTTTGTGAAGCGTTTTCTAAAATAAATATGATGTAGATGTGCACCAGCGCACTGTATGATATCGTTAACTTTCCATTGCTTTGACGGGAACAAGTGAATCCGATTAGCGGATACAGCCGACGTCAAACGCAGATTTGAAAAAATATCGGGTCTAAGGAGCCTGGTTGGCACGACCAACCAGTGCGCCGGCTCATCTCGGAGGCTACGTCAGGAGGTTATAGAGAAACGACGTCAACAAAATTGCTTCGTTCTCTTCTGACCGTCTGCGCAACAAGATAAGTTTCGGGAACCTGATAGTTTGATCGGTCTTCATGATAAGCCGCACTTCCATTCCGCCTGTCGGTTACTGAAGCTCCGTCCAGCGGAAGACGTCAAGATCAGTGACGTCATAACAAGCTTATTAGTGCGTTCTCGCTCACTCGTCTTTCGTGTTAGCTTCTTACACAAGCTTGCTGTCACAACTCTCGCCGCACTGGCAGTCGTTTTGAATTCGGAGGAGCATTTTTTTATTATTTCTGAATCTCGATGTCTTCGACTCCTTTTCGACCTGAACAGCTGAATACGCTGCCGTTCCTTATGTGTCCGCGATCGTGTAGGCCACTGAAGAAACTGAAGAAATGGCAAGAATCGCTTTCAAGACAAAACTTACGTTGAGCACTTTGGTGAGTCCTGTCACCAAGCCACTTGTCTGGGTAAAAGAGGGAAAAATTTGTCGTTAGAAAACTGAGCAAGTCGTTCGTTTTACAAATACATGACCACTATAGATCATAAAAGTGACCGGCTGGATAGCCTGCTTGAAAGAGCGTCATGGGTTTTATAAATTGGCAGTTCTGCAGCTCAAAAAATTTCGGACTGCTCTCAGTAAAAATTCTACTTGAGAGACAAAAAAGAAACTTCACTTTCCTTGCGCTAAAAACTCAAATGGGTCTTATGGTTTCAGTATAAACAGCTTAAGCATTTGTCATAATTTTTAATTTATAAAAAAGTGGCTCTTCTCGAGATAATACGTATTTTTACTGGGGCATGCGCTTTCCACGTTATCACAAATTTACGCACCATCAGAGAGCCAAATGGCGGTTTCCTAGACGTAGTCCTGCGTGTTGCCCCTGAGTGGTCGCAGGCGTCCAAGCAGATAGGGCGTAATGTGAACAGCGCATACTTGTTTTACGTTCTCGGTTTTTTAATTAACCGTGACATAAAGGAAGCACTTTTGTCCGCATCGATCGATTCGATGCCATAGAAGAGTCCAGATATTGTATGCGTAAGATGTATCAATAGATAACGAGGAAAATGAAAACTTACTGATGTTCCATTACTGCAGTAGTTCAGGTTGCCGCCCAGGCACTGCAAGAGAAGACGTATGGCATCATTATAAGCTTAGATCGAGTGTGGGAAAAAACACAAAAAACAAAAAACACGCAGAATTTTCTGGGCATTTGTTCGAGCGACAGTACAGTAGGGAATTTAATTAAGGCGAGAGGCTTTTGCACGTCTCGTAAACCAAGAACTTTTTTGATATTCGGTGAGACCTAATGATACATCGCAAGGTGGCGTCGGCGTCAACACAAATGATATAAAAGGGTTAGACAATAGAAGTGTGCTAACAGTCCTGCTAAACTCCAGTGAATGGATGTCGGTGCGCCAAAATTCACAAGACTTCAGTGTAACGTGTCACAGATTGCTACAACTCGGGACGTCATTCCAACATCATTATTGCATCACAGCATGACATCGCATGACATTTTCGCTTGTTTTAGGAGCGAAGCTCCTTAAGGCGTGGGCTGTGCGTCCCCTGTATGTAGCCACTTCTCGTTTAGTTCTTGCAGTGTTCACTAGATGGCGCTACCGCCCGCAGTATGTAGGCACCTCTCGTTTAGTTCTTGCAGTGTTCACTAGATGGCGGTACTTGTAGCTGATGACGATGGCAGCTATGGAGAAAAAACCGGCTTTGAGTAACTACCGAAAGGGCAAAAATGAAATAAGGAGGGAGGCATTTTACGATAATTCAAGGGGAAGCGCTTTACTGTTTGAAGCGAGATCGGGTTGCCTTAGAACGCGTAGTTATAAAGCAAGATTCAGTAAAGAAGAAGAACAATGCACATGCTGCGGGAAAGATAAGGAAACGGCGGAGCATGTTCTGATTGAATGTGGAGATATCCACCCAGGTGTACGTTTGGGCACGAGCCTACAGGAAGCCTTGGGTTTTAGGGACAACAATGGAAAGCTGAACACACCCGCGATTGAAATAAGTAAGAGAAGGTTAGAGTATTGGTGGCAGAAAATTAGAGAGAAAGGACAAAAATAAATATTGGAAAAATAAAATATGGACAGTGTGCCGTAAATGGCAGAGAACTTAAGCTGAAAATTTACCTTTTTTCCATTAAGATAGAATTTATCGAAGTAGAGGCATTAGGCCAACATAAAAAAAAAGGAAAAAAGGTTTTTTTTTTTTTTTGTCGAGCCTGGTGGCATACTTGTCACCACCCCGTTATAAAGGGGACGCTCATAGCATCCATCCATCCACGAAAGATGTGAGATGTTATAAAATAAGAATGATGTCACATATCACGTGTCATTGGTGGAAGGTAATCGTTCGATTTAGTACGGCGACGTACGCTAGGGGGAGCGTTGTAATAAAATCGAGTGGGCAAAATGTACGGAGGATTCATGGTTTATCAGGTTTACCTCCGGAGCTTCGCCCACTCATCATCATTCACTTCGTGGATATGGCGGCACTTTTTTTATATAGTTAATATCATGGTGTATTGTACATTGGCATTCTCGCAAAAGTTTTGCTGATTTAGGAGAACTACGCCATTTCCTTCTATAAAAAATAGGCTCGATCAGCCGAAATAAAAAGGCCGTGACACCTGATTTTCTTTGATAACTTGTGTTGTATGTCTGGTTTAATGCGTTCACAAAGAAGAGCGTGAAATTTCTTCCGTTTGGTCGAACAGTTAATTTATGGTTGAATGATTTCATGAACACTGGAGTGACCTGAGAGTCAGGCAACACTGGCGCAGTCGCGAGCTATGACGTCACAACCTCCTTGATGTACAGACGTCAGTATTACGGTGAACGATTTTCTTCCGCGATCAGCTGAGCATGTTACCGAGCTATTTCAGCTTTCTTCAAGTTCACACCGACATTAAACTATTCACAGCGGCTGAACCTCTGGTAGAAGACAATTTTTGTGCTCAATGCAGGATACGACGTCACAGATGCAATGGCAGAACGGCAGTTGCCGCCGGTGGGTAGAATTTAAAGCGACTTACTTCCGGGGCTTATTTTGTGATCAAAAATTGTTTTATAATCTAGTTTTCACGCATATTTGGGCTCATCGGACGCCTTATTAGTGTGTTCGCTTTTCAATGGAGACTGAGAATTTTCGAGTGACCGTGTGACCCCGCCCCTTGAAACCTAGAAACTGCCAGATCACGCTGAGAGCCTCAAGTCAGCACACCGTTCTTCTTAAAAAAGGACTCGTCATTGGGCGGCCAATTTGTGTCGGTAGAGATTTTGCGTGTCAATACTGCACACAAATACGTACACGCTCGATATGTATCTCTGTATAGATTGGGAAATGGCTGAACGCTGTACAGAAATGGCAAAGCATGACCGCTTTTCCCGGAAGGGATGCAGTATTTGTATGTTTGTATGACGGAGTCGCAATGAAAATCGGAGGAACCACACATGGGACTTACGGTGCCGATGTTGAGGATATTGTTGAGAGTGACGTTGGTGCAAGACACTGAAAAAGCAGGACAGAAAGAGATAATTCACTCGCTTTCAATAGCACAATTGTCCTTACCTTTAAAATATATAGGCATGCAAATGAGTTCTACGGCATCCCGATGGGTGGCAGCAATGTTACGAAAGAGATAACTGATAATCATGCGCGTTCGTAGCGCGAAGCCGCAAACCAGGTATGAGAGCGCTGCGCAAAAACAGTGGGCCTTCATACAACGAGACCACTTAACTATGATTTGTGGCTCTATGGGCTGACACATAGCTTGATGTTAATGTATAAAGTTGAAACAGGCCTCCATTGTTATTTTAAAGGTTTATTAACTGCACTATTGAACGCGGATGAAGACAAGTGAAAGACAGGACGCCTTGATAAGCCTTTAAAATGCTTACAAACCGACTGTCCCGACTTAGTGCCTTACTCGGTTGATATGTTCAATTTAGTATGCCATCGGGCAAATCTTCGAAATAAAAAAAAATCTACGCTGGTTCCTCAGGAAAATTATGTCGGGTTTTCTGTTTGAGATATTGGTACAGGTTTCTTCGTGGCACCGAGCTACAAGAGGGCAGTTTGGCATTTATCCCTTCAACAGCCCTCCTGCCGTCTAGTGGTATGTCACAAAACTGATTTGGAATGTATTTCGTGTTCATGTGCTTCGACTTATTGATCAATCACTCTTTGGTATGCCAACTTCAAGTATCCTGGTTAGTTCAACTGGCAGAACGAGTGCCTTTGAAATGCATTTTTGCCGGGTTCGACCCCGCACCAGGACAATTTTTTTTTTGTCTAATAGAGTCTTTCTTTTCCGTGAAAAAGAATTCGCTTTTGATGTTGTACTGTAAGCTTGTTGTTATCTATTGTCCCTTCGACAAAGTTAGTTTTGAAGCAACACATGAGAGTTGTAAGTTAGGTATTAAACTAACGTTGAGTTATCGGTCTTTTACGCAAGCACAGGTAACCGTCGTTTCGATAATCCGTCGTTTGGAAAACGTAGGTCATCTTGTTTACATGATCCTCTTCAGGTGGTTCGCCAGCACTCAGATTTGATCGATTCGCGTGCAAGAAAGTTGCGTACATTTGTGATGTAGCACTTAAATAAAAGATTGAAGCATTTAGGTGACATCGAAGACAGAATAATTATACCTAGTATTTAATTCGGGATTTGACGTGATTGACCACAAATGACCTTACCTTTTTTGAAACTTCGGCTTAATAACGCGAAATAAGCTTGCCGACCAAAGTACTGGAGGCTTCACTGCCAAGACAGTTGTGGCCCTTAGTAAAAATGCAGGCGTGGTGACTCTTAAAGAGACGCACAGTTCATTAGAGAGAGGCAGATATGTCGGCATGTGCGCCCTGGCTTGATATTCTGTACAGCATGAAATGAAGTTTGTGTACGAGCTATGAAATAAATAACTGAATGAAAAACGTTACTGACATCCTTGAAAACGCATCTCGGAGCTCAGTGGGCTGCTCCCACTTTGGGACAAAAAGGTCAAGTCTCTCATGAAATGTCAGCCTTAAAAGGGTTTTAATTCTCTATTAACGCCGGGAACTTTATATCTTGGCTCTGTTCTCTTGCGTTTAAATTGAGGAATACAGGAAAGTATTGAAGTAGGGAGGTTTTGCAGTCTGAAAAAATGAGCTTCATTTGCCGCCAGGTTCATTATTGGCACTGTTCAACAGTATAACACGCCTAATCTTGCTATGAGTATTATTTGGACGTCCAGTTACAAAATATACAGAATGAGACGCAGATCGTAGGGGGTTTTTAACTGTATAATTTTGAATCTACACAGATATAACCGAGACAATAGCGGTTAAAGGAGTGGTAAGACTGAATTGTTGAAGATAAGCGCACGTACAGTGCTTTTCGCCTCCACATAGGAGAAATCGAACCAAAGGACCACCACCACTGAGCCGCCACTGCAGTGGACGCCTCCACATAGCAGAAATCGAGCCAAAGAACCACAAATACTGAGCCACCACCGCAGTGGACGTGGGTTTTAAAAACACCTTCAACGAATCGACTTTCATCTGTTTTTTTTTTGTTTTGTTTTATGATACGTATACACATTCCACTTGAACATGAGTTGTATTTTCCTTACAATTCTTTACGCCTTCATTATCTAATTGATTGTGTCTTTTTTTAGGGCATTTGCTATTAAAACGGGTTATTGCTTCGCATTGGTGCCGAGGCGTATACATTCACAGCGTTCGCTCTTCCAACCTCAACGAACATAAAGACTCATTCTGTCACCTCACAAACACCTGGGACATTTTTGGAAGCCCAGAAGTACTCAGTCCGCTGAAATCGGACATTGGGAAGGTGTCATCGTTTAAAACCACGGGTCTAGAAAGTAACTAGTTGATGGTACAGTCTTCGTTAAAATACTCCAGCGCCACTTGTAAAGAGTACATGAACTTTTTGTTGTGACCTCGTCAACATGAGCGTTAAAACGTTTCAAGTCAGAAGGTACCACTACTTAAGGAATGATCATTCTTATCATATCTCCCCCCCCCCATTTAAAGCTGTTCGAGAAAGCTCCCACAATTAATGGGGATTAGTGGCAAGCTCAGTAATGACCGGACAGGCTTCTTGTCAAAGAGATACCCCGCCATGATGGTCCAGTGGGTATGGAGCTCGTCTGTTCTCCCGAAAATGCGTGAGGCCCTTTTGCTTAGATATATGAGCACGTTAAAGAAGCCCACATCTTTTAACTTACAGGAGCCCTCTCTTGCGACGTCTCTCATAAACAGGTTTGTCTACGTAAAAAACAATAATTATTCGAAAAGAGGCACCATACATCGTCACATAATGCAATAACGCAACTATATATACTTACTGGACGTTGAAGCTGTGACGACTGACGTCATCGCAGCGAAAACTAGCAGACCAGCGAAGGCGTAGGACAGACCCATCTTGGACTTCTTTTTTCGCCACGGAAGGTTCAGGAATGCGATACAAGCTTGACTTGTGCAGCGAAAGGTGGTTTACGAAGCGAAAACTCTCCGGTTTTTATACCCGAACCAGTGTCCGCATCCGCGTAAACAAAACTAGGTTACCAAGGATGTGAACTGCACTGTGAAACCTTGAGAGCGCGTATTTGACACAAAGTGGTGACACGCGCGCACACATGTTTTGTCCCGTGGAGCATCCGTGTGTCTGGTGTCGTACTTACAGTCATTTTAATTTATTATTTTTCTATGGGCCGAAAACGGAAGTGCTGAGTACTGGCGTTCACTGAATACAATAAAGAAATGAACAGCGTATAAAAACAGATTTCGATGGCGTCAACGGGTGATTGAGACAAGTAAAAGAAAAGTAAAACAGATTTTAGTGCGCGTGTGGAGGTCGTAATTGGTCTGGCAGTATTTTAATGCCATCATTCGCTTCATAAAAGCTTACCGTTACTCGTACAACAAGCTCTATAATATAGCACTCACAACAACAGGTGCACAAATACGCCATGTTTTTCATACAATACAAGTTTGAGTGGCGGAACTTCAAACAAAGGACAAAAAAAGAAGACATAGGAGGACGTCACCGTACTGGTAACTTTTTTCAAATGTGCGGTAGAGTAAATAACTAACACAAAGAAAATCATCAACAGGTATCTAAGAGTGATCGGTTCCTTGTGTCGTTTTCTACGAACTTGCTGTTTCATGTACCAGAGAGATATGTATGGTATGTACATGCCACACAGAGCACTGCACGGAGGGTCAGGTCTAAGCTACAAATATTGACGTTTGTTTTTTTATAAAAACCAAGTACACTTAAACTGAATCTGAGAAAAACACATTATTGACAATATTGTCACACCTGCTCCAATAATTTTTTTGCCAGTCTGCTCATGTCACCAAAATCCAACTGAAATGTCGGCTAAGCTATGTCGGTATTCAAGAGTAAATTTTGGGTTTGGCTCTAATAAAGTGAAGTATTTTGTTTGGCCTTGAATAGGCTCATAAGATAAGTCTAAATTTCAGCGAATCAATGAAGCAGCAATATTTTTTACACAAATGTAACCTCTCTTGTGCTTGCATCGGGGCCATATTTTGTCGAACGGGCGTAGTGCATGGCGATGACGAGACTTGTAAAACACGGTGTCCTACCAAGCAGAGGGAGCATCATTCTATAGACTTTCAGCTGCGTTCTCTGTTCTTGACATCAACTGAAGGCCGTAATGATGATGATGATGATGATGATGATGATGATCCTTCAGCTTTGCCGGCACTCGCCCACAAAGGGGGATCGGCCAAGAACCGGGCGGCAGGATCATCAAGTGTGCCAAGTCGGGCATTCAGGTAGTCTCGCAGCCGTAAATAATAATAACAATACAATAACAAGGTAATAATTTTGTTGCCATTATGTACGCACACACGGCAGAGTAAACCTCCCTGTGGCTATAACCTAATGTAATCCCTCCGAAGGATAAAATTACTTCCACGTTTATTTTTAAACCTAGCTTCTCAATTGGTTCGACCAGGTATCTTTTCCTTTGATAAGAATATCGTTGACAGGATAAAAAGAAATGAGCTATCGATTCTGATTCCTTGGAAAAGAGACATAACGGAGATGCTGTTAGTCCAGCTTTATGTAGGTAGTAATTCAGGTGCGTAATTCGGCATCGTAATCTGGTGATTGTAATTTCTAACTGCCGAGATACACACCACTGTTTGTTCCAGCAAAATCTTAGATGTACGAAGTCTCTGACTTTATCCAATGATAATTTTTCTATTTCATTGTGCAAACAAGCATTTCTATATCCGAGTGCTGTCACATAAAATATCCCCGGCCACTTCTGATCACGTTGTCTTCTTCTTCTATGAATAGTATGTGCCTAATATCTACATTTGAGTGGTCTTGTACTTCAAGTATATCGTCTGGGCAAGAAAATAAGGATATGATTATGTATCGCAAAACTCTTGATAAAACTCTAGGAGACAAAAAAAAAGTAGGAAAGTCTATGTCTTACTCATCCTTATCGAGCTTTACCATTCAGTATTGCGTCTTTCCATAAGCACTAATTCACCCTAGGAAAAACTATACAGAGGAATGGAGGCTTGTTAGCAAATGAACTAGGACACAAATTAATGTTATTCTGTGCAGCCATGTAGAATGTTTTCGGAACAGTTGTTGACGTAGCGCTTGTTTAGTAAGTATGACTCGGCTTGATTCGAATTGGTGTAAATTATGGCTTATTCCTTTATTCGAGACCGTCTTTTTCATTTCGCGTTACAGTCACCGATTGCTCATTTTAAATACAATTATTTTTTGAAGTAAAGATACTTAGGTGTACTTCACACTCCCTGTAAATTTAGCCCTGTTTCAAAAGTTGGATTGGGATGTCATAAAAAATGCTTCAATATATTTTTGATTGAGTCTGATTAAGCTCCATTTTTTTAAAGGGTTGCGGGGAAATCATTGCTTAAAAAACAAATACAAAAACGATGACATGATACGGCAGGCTGAAATGTCTGTCTGCTAATGCAATAAGAAACAGCTATGATGAAGCCGGGCGCAGACGGAAGAAAATGGTTGTTCAGCTACACTATAACATCTAGCCAGGGAAGGCAACAAGCACGCAGCGTGCGTAGGTGTTCCCCAGAGGTAGATACTTAAATATGATTTCGAATAATGTAGCATTGGATGGCAAGAATCGGAAGAAGTCCTCCCATACGCGTAACGTTTGCCCATAGCACGGCTCTCCAGGAAAGCACCAGGATGGCACCTTTTGGTCACCACGGCGCTTGACGTAACGCTCCGACCAACTCCCTGTGCCACCACCTCTCCGGATACAAACGTCTTCGTTCAGCGTGCCGATACAGCACAGAATGTTGCGCGGCAACGCATTTTGTCTCGTCAAGACCAAAATACTCGCCGATACAACAGCCATCACAGAGAAATGGCGTAGAAGACGGGTGACCTAGCCTGAATTTGGATGTCTGTGCGACGATGAGACCGCTCAGAAAAGTTGTTGTGCCTGTATCAGATGCGAGGCAGCTGTTTGACTACTAGCCTGTGTATTGCTGTCCCGTAAGTCCGCACCAACCCCCTCCGCGCAGGTGTTGGAGCGGTGCCAAGTAGGTCAAGTGGTAGCTGCTCGTTAAAGTCACTGTCTCCCTCACCCGCAGCAGCTGCCAGCCCCTCTGCCTGCTCACAACACACTTCTCTCTCGATCTACCCTCTCCACCATCCACAACGCTCGACCGCACGTTGAGTGGAAACTCTTTCGGCTCATTTACCTGCGATGAAGCTCATGTGAAATCCAACCCACCTCCCTCGTCTTTGTGTTTCAAACAAATGTTTACTCGACTAAACGCTACACCGATTTTCGATTCAAACCATTCTTCCAGCACCCGCGTCAACGCCCGTTTCAAGCGGGTCAACGATGTGTGTACCGCTGCTGCTTCGCACCCCATCAGGGTTCTCTTCAAGGAGATGGCCCATAACTTTTTTGAACCCTACCACGTACGACATCGTTTAGGTGAAGTCAATTACGAAGCTGTGCCAGCAGACCCATCCCGCCACTCTCGTACAACACGTTCTTCTGATGTGGTTCACGCCTTACTACTCGCGCTGACAAGATGCAAACTTTGTGGTGCCGCGCCTGCCGTCAAGCCCGTTGCGCCTCTTTTTCTTGTTTGTAATTTTGTCCTTTGCTGTTCAGTCGTCACTCACTTTCACGGCTCAGCTTACATTTTATTTCCAAGCTAAAGCATTGGGACTAAGTCTTTTTTTTTGCTTTTGTGGGGCGAGGGTAATGTCACGCGCTAGTGATAGTCAAGACTTAAAAGAAGTGGAACAAGTTCGTGGCTGGTGTGGCTAGAAAAAAAAACCACCGTTCACTCCGTGTCGTCTCTTTTTGTCCCTTCTTCTCGTGAAGATGTGCTTTCTCCGTATAAAATCACAGCAATCATTGTAAATCTGGTTAAGAATGAATAATAAATTTTAAAAAACGATGCCCGCAACGGAAGCAGCTACATCAATTGTCACCTGCTCGCCCTTCGTGTTTTTATTGTTTTCTTTAACATTTTTTGTGCAATCGCTTAAACGCACCTACAGTAACAGCTGCTTGGACGTACAGATTATTTGTTTTGTACATTTTTTTACTTTACAACTAAAGCACCAAGTGATTCCAGTCATGATAGAAATTACCTTATTGCTACTGACTTCCGGAGGTACTATATATATCCATGCTTTTTCGAAAACAAAATGAAAACTTAGTTGTCCAAAAAAAAGAACAATTTACGCTACAGATATTTCAACTTTATCATAGCTCATATTCTTTTCGCACAGATGTTACACATCACAAGCGCGAAGTACTCTTACGGCATCCTGCCCTCGTTTTTTTTTTGCTGTTTCATTGCCTTAAATAAGACATTCTGTGACAGAAAGCCCAACTTCTCTCATACATCGAAAACAGTTTTTTTTTCAGGGGGGAGGGGGGATATTTCGTTCTACAAACGCCATCCACATCCTGGTTTGTGCTTGGACGTACAAACAATAACACAATAACGAAATAATATAAAGTCGCTTGAAGGTTAAACAAAGGTTTCAGAGACGTAGGTGGGAACGAGACCACTGCAACAACAGTATGCCGATGTCCGGGTTGTTATGCATTTACCTCCGCTTCAGCGAAAATGATGAGATCCTAGATCGTGACGTACTTAGTCGCACCTGCTGATAGCTTCATGTGTCATGGTACCTGCGCATGTGCGGATATCTCTGGTTGCTATATCGATTCGCACAGTGCCGTTGAATGAATAATAATTAATTAATTAATTACGAATAATTATTTAGTTATTAATTATTATTAATTGATCAATTGTTCGATTGATTGATTGATATGTAAGGTTTAACGTCCCAAAACCACCATATGATTATGAGAGATGCCATAGTGGAGGGCTCCGGTAATTTCGACCGCCCGGGGTTCTTTAACTTTGCACCCAAATCTGAGCACACGAACCATTTTCGCCTACATCGAAAATGCAGTCGCGACAGCCGGGATTCCATCCTGCGATCTGCGGGTCAGCAGCCAAGTACCTTAGCCACTAGACCACTGCGGCGGGGCTCGCAGTGTTGTCAGAAGCTCTGAAATATGTTGGTCGACCTTCTTTTTTGCAATGGTACATGACTGGGCTTACGCCCTGGCCTGGTGTAATCATTTTGTGTGCCGTAGTAATAGGATTAAGCCCCACTTATCACTGATGGTGGGCTCAATATAGAGAAATGCACTCGCGGTGAGCGCCAATTAAGGCTTCTGGACAGACATCGTCAATAATTGAGAAACAATTTAATGAACCGTAATGATTAAAGCAGTGATAAACATCAGGTTCATGCGTTTCAACTTCGCTGGTTAAAAATGTGTGGAAATTTGTTTCGGCAGTGGTTCAATAGTATTTCCACTTTTCCTGTATCTTCCTCATTTTCCTAAAAAGTATTGCCCGTATGGCCAATTTATGTTGTTGTCCGATGTGAACAGGGAAAAACTAACGGGTTTTTCAGCACCCAGTAGTCAGCATTGATTCTAAGATGTCCTTGTCGCTGCTCAACGCCGAATATGGTTAAAGAATCTATATGGATCGGTCTAGATCGGCTGACAGCTGCGTAAGTGCTCTTGTTATCCCGGCGTGCCAAGTGACTATAAGGTTCAAAGTGTTCCACAGGGTGACATCGATAGCTGTGGAGCTTGCCGCCTTATAAGCTTCCTGCTGTGGTTTATATCGCGGAATCCCGGCCTCGAAAATGTGCTGTCTTCAGCGACTGTGAGGCATCCCTTCAGAGTTTGAAATCAGCGTTACGATGAAGAGTGCATGAACAACTAGTAAATAAAATGACAGAAGTCTTTCATCAGGTTTTATCAAAGGGGCATGATCTGGTGTTTCAGTGGTTACAGGGACATTGTGGCATTTTCGGTGATGCTACCCGGTCCACCCACGAGAATACCCTTGTTGCTAGAACCGGCGCTGCAAGGGCCCTTCGCTTGTTCGCTGACTGATCGTCGGAAACTTGGCTGAGCTAGCACAGGGTCCGAAACCGCCGCCTACACTAATTGGACCCATCGAGGAAGCTCCAAGTTCCATCGGGCCTCTCCCGCCGAGACGCAACTTCAGTTTGCCGTCTGTGGTTAGGCGTAGCTTTCACGAAGGCGCACTCTTTTCGCGTTGGAATGGCGGATACCTCCAGATGTGACTCGTGTGGTAGTGACGATACAATAGAACACCTACTGTGTTCCTGTGATCATTTCGTGAGTGAACGCAACGTGCTATGTATACGCAAAACGTTACACAAACTAGATGACAGACCTTTTCCAAAAGAGAAGGTATTCGGTTCATGACTCTGCGTGTCGCAGGCCAGCAAGGCGACGTGGGCATTCCCGTGGGCAGCAAGGCGACGTGGGCAGCAAGGCGACGTGGACTTTCTCAAAGTCCACTGGACTAAGTGACCACTTATAAGCGTGCAATGGACAGCGCACATGTCATGCGTGCGGACACACAAACTCGCATTGACGCCTGGTAGAGGTCACCGCAGTAAACGAACGTTATACATGGCAATGTTGTGTGCCACGTTTGCAACTGTCCGCCGCCTACGGCATCTATTTTGGCAGGGGCCCAGTGTGTATCTGTTTAAAATGATGTAGTTGCACTTTGTTCCATCAATACTCGACTCAAGAGTTAGGGCTCTTACCCCACTAAAGAACTAAGGTGATTACTCCATAGCACTGAGCAAACGTATTTACATCAAATCTGCCTTTTGTAGATAGAGTTTTAACCCTATTCAAGGGGTGTTGACCGGAACTTAGGTGGCCCAGACAGCCTGCGGTATTTAGTCTCGTGAGCATGCGTATATCATCTACCAAATCGCATGAGTGAGTTAGGCTATAAATGTAATTTAAATGCACTTTTTAAGTTGGCGTGTCTGACCCAAGGCTGCATTGCCACACCTCACGCCAGCCTGAAGGGGACCCTAAACCTCTACGATCTTCGAGATGCCTAGCCAAATTATGACAACAAAGTTGCGATTTGGCTTCAGCCGCAGTGTCCGTGCCGGCGAGAAACGTGTGAAAGCCTCAAGAAAATCATTGCCACCTGGTGATGACGATGACGTCAATGACCTCGCACTTCACACGCCACATGCGAAATAACGAGACCAGGCTAACCTGGCGATGCAGGCCGTGCGCAAGTGTGCCACGGCATGTGTGCCGCCTCACACGATAGATGGCGATGGTTGCTCACGGCGGCAACGGCGGCTTCTCGTTGTCGAAACTCTTCCATACCGAAACTTAGACTAGTCGGTAATAAACAGATTGTATTAGCGATATGCTTGTTGGGACCAATGGGCCTCCAGCAATATATTTGAGCGAGGAAAAAAAACAGAAGAGCGCCCCTGCAATATTTTGGCGCCAGTAACGCTTTAAAAAGAAATGCCAGATAGACCCCGCCGGAAAGGGGGCAACGCTGCTTTATCGTTTACGGTTAGGTGTGGCATTAACGAAATGATAATGTTACTACCGGGATCTTTCCCATCGAGAGTAAAGTTCAGTCGCTTTGCTCCGGACACTGCCCAGAGTGCCATGAAAAGTACTGTTCGTTATCTCACACGCTCTGGCAATGTTCGGCGTTACAAGAGGCCTCTCTTAATAAACAAGTGGACTGAAAGGAAGCCCTCAAAAGTGGCAATCTCCATGAACAACTGAGGGCTATAGAAAAGGCACGCGAACGGGTGGAGGACGATGCATGGTCTTCCGGCCCCAACGGAGGTGCGGCCCGAAACTACGACTCTTTAGTTCCTTAGGAGCCGAAAAAGTTTCTTGACCGACCCACCGACCGACCGACCGTCCGACCGATATTTTTTTCGTATTTGAATTGCCGACAACGCTCTCTGCGGTACCTATTGGTGCGAGGAGACGCTACGTCCTATCCTGCGTGGCTGTCCGGTCTATAACGTTCAGAGACAATCACTGACACCCGTTATAGCCCTCTTTGGCAATAGACAAATGTCTGTTGAATCTGTTCTTGCATGTCGTCGACAGAAGACGTCGCAGATGAAGGCGACCAAGGAACTGCTGAGGTTTTTGAGAAAAATGGACCTGGAAAAGCGGCTGTGACAGTGATGTCGCGTTCCACGCCAGGTTCATGGACCGTTACTGACTGCCTGCTTGTGCGTGTTCTGCGTGATGGGCTGTCTTTCTTTCCCTTTTCTCTTTTAAAGACGATAGTCCTTCTTGGGGACCTTCGACGCAAGAATTTTGACCTGCCTGCCTGCCTGCCTGCCTGCCTGCCTGCCTGCCTGCCTGCCTGTCTGTCTGTCTGTCTGTCTGTCTGTCTGTCTGTCTGTCTGTCTGTCTGTCTGTCTGTCTGTCTGTCTGTCTGTCCACTCTTAACAGCATTGTGTATTTGAAACGGCCGACCCCATCCGCAGCGCCCACCTATGTTGCTGAAGATTCAGCGTTCATACTTGTGCAATTGTCGATTAAAAAGCAATTATTGCGCGTGTCTGGGCGAAGAATCTTTCGTTATTCGTCAGAGCAGTTCACGTGGTTTGAGTTCGCACTGGTCGCGCTGGTGGCGTTGCGTGTAAACGTGGTGCGACCTTTTAAATTTACACAGCTTTTTTTTTCGTTTATTTTTTCTTGTGAAGCGTTCATTTTTCTTGTGTCACGTGGCTGAAAACGTTCCAGCCATTGTGATAACTATTTTGCGAATTATAAAGGTGTGCATCATTTTTATAGTTTATTGTAATTATATCGCTGATAGCCTTAAAACATTTTTTAGCGAGACGCAGAAGGTTGACGCCCTTCTGGTAGTTTATATCTTACAGTGGATAGATAGGCATAGTTTTAGTGTCGCAGCACCTAATTGGGATATTTAAGTGAATGTCACACTCTGCATGAGCTGTCAATCCTGTTGACGGTCTTTTCACTGCCGATTTCACATGCGACCTACAGGCAGTTGTTGGTTTGAATGTGCGAGTCAGTACCCACGGAAATAATTCAAGACATCTCTGACAGAAAGGTGAATGACAGCAGTGTTTTTTTTTCTCTTTCTAGTCGGGAGCCTTAGGGACGTGCGGGATGTCTGAGAGTGAGAAACATAACACACATTTTTTTTCACGTTTTATTTGTCGTTAGAATTAACCGAATTGCACACACCTCTCCTGTATTTGTAATATACGCCGTTTATAGTATTGCATTCCCTGAAAAAAGCAGCCATGCATTCTTCCTTATCTTCCCAATCGACTCGTTTTCGAAACCACAGCTGGCATGTTGCCCTATCTGTAGATAGAAAAGAGCAACCAAAATTAGTGGCACTTGTAAGATTATGAGCTTTCATTGAATATGTAGATTTTTGCACTTTGCAGTTGTTGGAGTAATGGTGACGTGTGGAATGAAATGGACAAAACTTTTTTAACGCCTGCAAATCAGTGACCGGGCCTAAACCGTCTGGGTGGTCGCGGTAAGGTTTAGCTTTTCCGCCTGTTCCCAGGTCTGTCCTCACATTTATTGCTCTCACCTTAAGTAAGAGTATGCTCAGCTATCGTAATTATTCTAGTTCACACTTAACTTCGAACCAGAGCAATCGAATATTCATTTTTTTCCAGTGAAAGTTTTAATTGTTTAAAAACTTTGAGTAAGCCGTGGTTCCACCAGAAACGTTTCGAAAAAAAAAACGTTTTGACTCGTTACACGGGCCAATAAAACGCTGCAATGAATGATTCTCTCACCTGCATATACCTCTGAAGAAACATTTCCATTAGATGGGGCTTGAGCTGAAAAAAAAAAGATATCTGGTCAGAAGCTTACCCAGAGATATTGAGTAATCAAAGAGGCTACTTAGAACTTTCACAACACTGCATCATTTTCGCGATGTGTCACAAAACACTTATGTTTATTAACATGAGCATATTTTTGAACAGTTCTTTGCGTTGTAACTAAATTATATGATTAACATAGAGTGGAGTGGAATAGCACATCTGACTAGCACAGAGCTGGGATAATGTCCACGTCGTCCATCTATGAATGGTCATTTCTTGGTAAAATAAATGCGTAGATAAGTAATTGGCGTGCTTACACACTCCTGATTGCAATGTTGGTAGCAAAGGCTACATTTAGAACGCGTGGTTTTGCAAGCGTAAGAGGTCGTGCCATAGGTGTCCAAGCGGTTATGGTGCGTGAATGCTGGCCGTCAGGCCGCGAGGTCCGATCCCAACCACGGCGGCAAAACGCCAGAGGATTGTGTACTTAAATTTGGGTTCACGTTAAAGAACCCCAGGGGATCGAAATTTCCGGAGCCCTCCACAATGTCGTTTCTCATAATCATGTTGGTGTTTTCCGTCGTGAAACCTCAAGAATTGCTGCAACTAAAACGTAAAAAGTGTGCATAGAAATAAACTTAAATTTTCGCAACCTAAATAAATAAAACGTAAATCATAAACGAAAATAATATTAGGACAAAACAAACTCCCCCGCCGCGGTGGTCTAGTGGCTAAGGTACGAAAGGTATTGCAAAATCACATTAGGCATGAGAAGCTGTCGGAAATAGGCGGAGAAGAATTAATCGACAGCTGCATGGTAATGAGAAGTGATTCTCGTATCAGTCAAAATAGTATGTTGAAAACTTCAAAAATGAAGAGAAAAGTGACAGCTCCCTAAGGTAACGCTAAGCAGAGCACATGTTAAAACTTCTGCTTTCACGAGATACTTATGAAGCCCCGCCGCGGTGGTCTAGTGGCTAAGGTACTCGGCTGCTGACCCGCAGGTCGCGGGTTCGAATCCCGGCTGCGGCGGCTGCATTTCCGATGGAGGCGGAAGTGCTGTAAGCCCGTGTGCTCAGATTTGGGGGCACGTTAAAGAACCCCAGGTGGTCAAAATTTCCGGAGCCCTCCACTACGGCGTCTCTCATAATCACATAGTGGTTTTAGAAGGTTAAGCCCCACATATCAATCAATCAAGACAAAACGAACTCCGTAAGTTTTTAACTGGTTTCCTTGTGTTTTTGCTAAAGCGAGAGCAACTGTATTGAAATGATTTTTCTGAGAACTTTATATCTACTTGTTGAAGTGTACCGAATCTATCATTGACACCTGACTCCATATATCTGTCTGCTAGCGAGCTTAAGTTTCGCTGTAGTATATGGAAGCGAATCAGTGATTTTCCTTGCGGTAAGAGTGTTTCCATTTGCGTGCACTAAGGTTTATTCAAAAATTTTGTACTCACCCTTGATGCTTTCGCACAATATAAAACGATGACGGTTTCGAAGTACTGTATAGTATATTAGTAGCACTCAACTTTGGTGAAGATATCCGGTATGAAGGCTAGCCGCTAGTTTGATGGTAGCTCACGGTCTCTGATACCTTACGCTTGTTTTGACTTTGCAACTTACACACGTTTCTGTGGGGGCTTGCTAGAGTGTTCCGTGGTTAAAACTCAGATTAAGCTGTCTGAATTCTCTACATGATCATCACCTTAAGTAACAATCTTTCTTATCTGCCTGGCGTGTTTCTTAAGTAGTCCTCAATAAGTACGGTTTTAATGGATGTCTCGGGGGGTACAGGGTACAGCACTTCGCGTGAACTATAGCATTCAGCCATTCAAAACTATGAAAAAAAATTTGATTGATTGATTTGTGGGGTTTTACGTCCCAAAACCACCATATGATTATGAGAGACGCCGTAGTGGAGGGCTCCAAAAATATTGACCACCTGGGGTTCTTTAGCGTGCACCCAAACCAGAGTACACCAGCCGACACCATTTCCGCCTTCATCGGAAATGCAGCCGCCACAGCCGGGATCCGATCCCCCGACCTGCGGGTCAGCAGCCGTGTACCTTGGCCACTAAACCACCATGGCGGAGCAAAAAAAAAAGTTTACGTTATAAAGTACATTTGAAGCATACTTTCAAATGCTACGTTCTTAGTGGAGAAATAGTAAAATTCAATCAATAATGTAGAAACAATTTACTTCCTAGTCGGTCCCTATTTCTAATTAGTCCCCGGCTGCCCCCCCAAAAAAATATGTCATTTAACTGTATCACGTGGTAGGTCATTGTGCAAAGCAACATAGGAGTCGTCAGGCTTGTTCACAACAAAAGGGGCTAGGGAAACACCACCTAGAACTAGGAGAAGGCCCGCGCATGTCCCCCTCTCCACACCAACTACGTCACCACAGTGAGATCTGCAAGCCCGACGACGCGAGCAGAGAGAGCGCACGGCGCGCACGGGAACTGGCGCGGCTCGGCTTGGCTTTCGGCTGTGGCTAGTACGGAATCAATCTGCCAGCATGCGCGTTGTGGGTAGAAAACTGTTTATTGAATGTGGCAGCCGCAAGGTGTTTTTTTGATGCAAAAAAATAAGGAAATTTTATATGTGTTTTTATTTACATCATGGTCTATTCATGCGGCGCAGTACTGGTTATAAAAATTGCGATATACTGCAGGCTTGAATACATAAGAGCACCAATGCTAGCGGTATCAGCCTAAGCATCTGGCAACGCTGACACTATTTCCAGTGCTGCAGCTTGTTGGCGTGCATTTTCTTTGTACTCAGTTGCTCAGGCGTGCTGCATGAACTTTTGCTGGTGTGCTGGCGAAAATGCCTGGGTGCTGCTGTGCACCTAACTGTCGATCGAACTACGCTAATGGACCGCGAGCACGCGTGTACAGGTTTCCGTTGGACCCCGCCCAAAATGCAGCGTGGACGAAGGCTGTGCGGCGGGAAAACTTCACACCTACGAAGTACACTGTGGTAAGCACATGTTCCCGTTTGTTTTCCGGCAGTCGTGCTTCTCGTGGGAACAGAGTCTCGTTAATTGCGTGACGCATGCAACCGTTACGACGCGCTATGCACTTTAAGGATTGACAACTGAGCAAATGGTGTGTTTCAGTGTAATATTGTTCCATGTTCGTGCCGTAAAGTGTATAGTGCCATGTTTACGCCTCAGGTTGCTCATGTGCGGTTCTGCCTAATCAGAAATTGATTTAGCGCAATGTATTCGCGAGTAAAACTGTCTGCGTCGAACATACGATGTAGACGGCGTAGTTACTTTACATGTGGGGCGTCCGCCACTACTTGAGCGCCAAACAAACGATGGCTTGTGGTTTACCATCTCAAAGCAAGGTTCGCTATGTGAGACGTCATTCTTGTTGACTGCGTGGTCGTGGTTACCGTACAGAAGCAGATAAATAAAGCGAAAGAATTTGTCTTAATCTTCACAAACGGCGCACTGGGATCATATAATTCTGTAAAACTGTTATGTATAATTCTCTCGCTTTCATCTTATACTTCGTTGTTTGTGCTTATGTTCCAGGTCTGTGAGCACCACTTTCTTGAAAGTGACTTCGTAGACTCCACCAGCTACACTGACAGCATGACTGGGGAAGTAAATGAAGTACCCCTCAAGCTGAGGCGCTTGAAGCCTTCTGCAATCCCAAGCGTTTTCCCTAATTGCCCTGCTTACTTGTCCCGCCAAGAAACTTCTGCACGCGAGAGCCCAGAAGAAAAGCGCGCTCGTGTGGACGCAGAAGCGTTGCAGGAAGCAATACGGTTATCAGAGCAGTCTCACGAAGCGGAAGAAGAATGTCATCGCCACTTTCGAAGACCTATTGACAGCAGTAGGTGACCTCTCTCTTACTGACTTCTGGACCAAGGTGGTCACCCAGAAACAAGTACTTTTCCTCAACTTCAGTGACCAAGGTGCCCCAGTTGTGCATCGTGCAGTGACAGTGGCATCCGACCTTTCTTTGGCAGTGTATGTTGGTGAAATGAGGTTACAAAACCTAGGTTCCTCTGTGCTTCCTATGACAATTTCTGACTTGAGAGTGCTTCACAAAGTTCTGTGCGATGTGGAAGACGTCACGAAGGATTCCACAAATAATGAACTCCAACTAGAGATTCTGCTGAAGCGTGTCGTGGCACTCCTGGAGCAACTGTCATCTTCAGCTCTCCCGCATGAGTGGCAAGTGCAAGTCGTCAAATTTGTGACACAGCAATTTCAAGTTCTCCTCACTAAGGCGTCGACTTACCCAGCTGACTTTCTGGTGTTCTGCAGCCTTGTGTACACAATATCGCCGCACGCATACAGATTCATCAGGAGTACAGCATAACTAAAGCTCCCACATCCACAGACAATAAGACGCATTTGTGCCTCTTACCGTGCTAGCCCATCCAGAGAGCAACAAGAGGATTCATTCCTTTCTTATGCAAGGAGACTGGCATCAACACTAAAAGACCATGAGCGCTTTGTGACGCTTATGATGGACGAGATCCACCTGCAGGCATCCTTTCAGTACAAGGGTGGTTATGTCACTAGTGCAGCGACAAACAATGAAAATGCGGCAAAGACAGCATACGTCTTTATGATACAAAGCTTGTTATCATCAAACAAGGATGTTGTGCATATACTTCCAGTAGCACAAATAGAAGCGAAACAGCTACATGAATTTCTTGATCTGCTGATCAGGCACCTAGAAGGCATTGGAATACGAGTAGTTGCAGTGGTGTCTGACAACAACTCGATCAACCGAAAGGCTATGTCATTTTTTGCTGATCCTCCCAAAGTGAGCATTGTATACAGGCACCCGTCAGACTCATCAAGACCCTTGTTTTTTATTCTGGATGCAGTGCATATATTAAAGTGTATCCGAAATAACTGGCTGAATCAGCGTAATTGTGGAAGGTGCATCTTCTTTCCCAATTTCAGAGCCCTCTCGGAAAACCCATCTGTCCTGACAGCCTCGTTTAACACACTATGCAAGTTGCATGAAGGAGAAAAAAATGAGCTTTTGCGACTAGCTCCAGCTTTGTCCTTCAAGTCGCTGAATCCATCCAATCTAGAGCGACAAAATGTAAAGCTCGCACTGAGGATCTTCAACAGTTCAACTGCTGCAGCACTAAGAAGCACCAAAGTCGCACTTGACCATAAAGCTGATACATTGGAACTTATTAACATTGTTTTGACATGGTGGAATGTGGTGAATGTCAAGACCCCATTCAAAGGTCAGCGTCTCCGAGACCCATTTCAAGAACCGATAAGTGCACTGCAATGCTACCAAATTGAGTTTCTAAACAAGATTGTGGATTGGTTGGACCACTGGCAGAGCTTGAAGCATGATACTGGCCAGTTAACTCGCGAAACGCACATGGCACTGCGACATACCTCACATGCCCTTGTTGAGGTGTCAACGTATTGCATTGAAGAACTTCGGTTCAAATACGTTTTGCTAGGGAAATTTCAAACCGACAGTTTGGAAGACAGGTTTGGCAGGTACAGGCAGCTGTCTGGTGCCCAATACCACGTTTCGATACGTCAGATTTATGAATACGAGCAGAAGCTGAGACTTCAGAAGCTACTTGATCTTCCCAACTTGGATACCATTGCACCTTGCATTCCTACCACTGATTTGAAATTCCTTGTTAAGCAGTTTGATGTTGCAGTGATGGACGATGATGTGAAGGAGAAGGAGAAAAGGCTACCAGCTATTACATATGTAGCAGGATATTGTGCATATGCTGCAGTTAGGAAACTTGCCTGCTTTTCCTGCCAGGAAAACTTGACTGTTGAGAATCGGACCATTGAACTGGATGATGATGTGCTGATAGCTAATGCAACGCGTGGTGGACTGAAATTTCCACAAGCGGTAGTTGTGAATGCCGTGCTCACAATGGAAATTGTGCTTGACAAGCTGAGAAGTCCGAAGTACGCATCACAATTTTTTGCTTGCGCAAAACAAACAGAAGTTCTTGTAAGCCTCGCGACTTCCCTTGTTGAGTGCAATGAAGACTTGGATTTCTGCGATGGTGGCCACTCACCTGAACTTGTCTTAAACTATGTTCTCAGCGCTGCTGCCAATACGCTGCTGAATAATTTGTGCAAAGTTCAAAATAACAAGCTGAATGAAAGCAAGGCTGCAAAGCGGAACAACGTTGAAAATAAAGGAACTGAAAGCAAGGCTGCGAAGCGGAAGCTCAGTACTCTTCAAGCATAATCTTCTTTCTTATGAATTGTTCTGCCTGTTTGGATTATGATGTATCACGAATAAATATGTCTCACAACGAAAATTTAAGCCTCTTTTAAACTGCACAAATGGCTGTGCATGCTGTTAAAAATTTCACGAGTGCCTGATGAATTATTTCAAGCCAGCGTTTAGTTAAAACATACTGAAAATATTCCTTAATGCAAATATTCTGTGCACTCCAAAACCGCGAAAATAATAATAATAATGTAGGGAAAATGCCATTTCGGAAAGAAAAAGCGTAGCATTGGGTGAAGCCGACTTTTAGGCCGATCTCACTGCGGTGACGTCACGTATCCCTGCACAGGCCTTCTCTAGTTCTAGGTGGTGTTGGCTAGGGACACGCCATATTTGTCACATGACAGTTCTATTCACTGCTCCAGCCGACAAGCTAACTAGATACAAGTGAAAAGCAAGTTTAATTGCCCTTTAGCGGGACGCGGAATTCTCGGAGCCTGGTCGAGTCCATCCTCAGCACATAAGGCTTGGCAACATATAAGGCTTGGCGAGTGTTTCTTGCGAACAAGTGGCCAGCCACTTACTTTTGGGGAGGATGGATAGCAAAGACAAGTGTACAATAACTAGTCTGCATCACTTCGCTATTTTTAAGCAAACTCCACCAAATGTGCTAAGCTGTTTGAACGGAAATATTATTAATTTTTTTGTGATTTGGGTGAGAAAAGATGAAACCATTTATTAATATAAAATATATTGTTATTTTTTTATTTTTGAAATGCCACCGTGAAAACGTTCTTGCACCTAATATGTTAAAAGCTCTTGTGGTTGTTCAAAGGGTCTATTCCCAGTATTTTTTAAATTAAAATAATATTTGTCAACATGACCATGGCCTCGCGAAATCATCCCGTGTTGCTAGTGGACGCGGCAGCTTCCCTTGAGGACTCTATGCACTCGATGTGGACATTTGAGGCCAAACGAAGCCACCCACTTCCAATGTTGAGCCCCGCCAAGCGCTCGGGTCTATGCCCAACCACACTGCTGGCCGAGAAGCTCCCGTCTTTATTCACCTTGATGGAATGCCACCGTGGCAACTGCGTGGCTATTCACGCAACCACCCTTCGTTCGAACCTCGATATTCTTCTCCTTCTGTCGTTGCATATGTTCGTGTTTGTTTATCGCTGAAGGTTCACGGTTACACGTCCACCGAGTAACCCAAGAGCATGGACAGTCGCTTGAAAACGCATTAAAATGCATGGATGTATTTTCCTTTTACAGTGAAAGCTCTATATGGCTAGGAGAAACAAAAAAAAACCGTTCGGCATTGGTTTCACGAGGGGTCTTCATTGGCTGGGCTATCACTTACGTCATTCTCAGCGTCGTATCAAAGCACGTTTACTATTGGCTGCTCTGTCAGTGACGTCGTGCATCTCATCACAGCCGTGGCGCCGAGCACGCGCCCAAGCGACGAGAGTGGAAACGTGAGAGAGCTGCCATTTGCTGTTTCGATGCTGCACTCCGGGCACAAAGACCAGCCCTGGAGGCCGAGTACCGGCAGCAACTGCGTACCGGTGATCCATAAGCCTTCCAGGCCACGCTAAATCGCAAACGGGAATGCAAGCGCCGGTGGCGGGCGGACCTTGCGAACCGCGCCACCGAGTTAGTTCGCAATGTTCAATGCTTGCAACAACGCCGCGGTGAACAAGTGGCGTTGCGCGCACAACAGCGTCAACGTAATGATTGCGCGAGCGCGTTCGCCGGGGCGATCGCCCGCTTTCTGTGGGAGTTTCTCCAGCGGCACTTTTGTTTCGTCTATGACGTCTGTGACCGCCTGTGATTGGAGAACAACCACTGTGATTAACGCTTTGTGAAACGCATTGAACCACTCATTCCAATCCTCCTCGAAGCATGCGAAGCACAATGTGCGGTATTTCAAATAAACATTGTGGTAAACCCAAGCCGGACGTGTGTCTATAACCTAATTGAGCAGCACGAACATGTAACCAATAAATGTGAAAATTTTCATTGCATAGTCGAGTGGAGCCCACTGCTAAACGCCGAAGCCGCGCGTTTCAGGTTTTGCTTCATGGTTAAAAGAATAATACGAAGTGCTTGGGTGGTGATTTTTTTAATCAACTGAGGTCAAAACGAGAAATCAGGCAAGTGATTGATTGATTTGTGGGGTTTAACATCCCACAACCACCATATGATTATGAGAGACGCCGTAGTGGAAGGCTCCGGAAATTTTGAACACATGGGGTTCATTAACGTGCACCCAAATCTGGGCACACGGGCCTACAACATTTCCGCCTCCATAAGAAATGCAGCCGCCGCAGCCGGGATTCGAACCCGCGACCTGCGGGTCAGCAGCCGAGTTCCTTAGCCACTAGACCACCGCGCGGGGCGATGCGGCAAGTGTTCACTGCTCAGTAAAGAAATAACATGTCGTAACAATCTCATACATATTTTTTGTGTGGAAGCTTGACTTAGCAGGCGATACTGCGAATCCGCTTTGTTACACGCAATTGATAAATAGTTCGTAAGCGTCCGAGGCATATGCCGAAATGGCGGCAAATCCTTAATAAAGGGACCTACGTGGTGCACGGTTAGCAATGGTACATATATTGACGATGAGCCGAGATTTAAAAAAAAAACGTGTTCATTGTATGTCTGGAACTGCCAAACAGCACTGCTGTGCTTAGAATTAAGCAAACGTCGCTGCTCTCTTTACCGCAAATATTAAGACGTTTTAAATACCCCTAGTTTTTGCCAACTTCCGTTGCTTTCTTACCTGTCTCGTTTCCCATGACGAAACATGTGGGGCGAGCAAAGTAGAGGGTGTAATCACCGTAGACTTGCGGATCTGAAAGAACACGTTCGTGAAACTTATCACTCTGCCTTGGCCTGTTCTCTTTGGAAAACAGGCGAGTGACCGTAGAGGTTATAAAAGTTGCTGCGAAAGTAGACACTTCATGAAGCAAGCTCAAGCAGTTCAGGAAGTCTGAATTCGCGCCGATATGACTCCCTCCAATCGCGTCGTATCGAGGTGTCTTCGTGTTCTCAAGGATACTCTCAAGAGACGCATAAAAAATGGCGGAATATCCAAGTTAAGCCGTTTACAAACATGTCTTGGGATTGACTTTTCCAAGTGAAAAAATTAAGTGCTAGAAAAAGTTATTCTAGCACCATTTTAAATTCATTGCCTCGCAAAGCCCGGTGGACGAAGTTAAAAGCCGTGAAACACCTGAGCAGTTTTGCATCAAAACGGCACAAAAGGTGAAGAAGATACGTCAAAACATATCTAGTTTCAAATTGTTGAATAACCCAGAAGCGTTCAACAAAAGGCAACATTACCACAAAGAAATACTGGCGGTGTTTGATCTGCAAGGAGTTTCAGAGCGACACAACACTGCGTTCTGTGTAAATTAAATGCGTGAAGTCCAAGGACAGGGCTCACAAAGCTAATTTCAAGAATTTATACATAGAAAACTGGACGAATGAATTTTTTTACACACTGTCTCGTTTTGCCCCACGCAGCGTCTCGTTTTCCCCCGCAGGTTGCGGCAAAATGAGACATCCGGAGCAATTTTATTTATTATTAAAACATTGTTTTGAAGGATCGCAACATGTAAATACTTACGTGGCACATACCTTTTATCCAAAGGAAAATTTCTGCATGAATGTTTTATTGTAAGGTGTGAAATAAAAATAAATATTCAGAATTTTAACATTTTTCCCGCATTTCACCCCGCTGCCGAAGAGTGCCGCTATAAACGTATACACATGAGAGGGCTAGTTTGGTGTATTCGACATTTCCTGATCTTATCCACTCAAGTCACGAGATAAAAAAACACACAGGAAAACAGTCATTCGACAACCTAAATTAGCAGCACCCATATTTTGAGCGTAAAATAGTCTACAGGCACAGGCACTAATGTAGGCACTTAAATCTTTCCCGTTTACGGCACGTCACGTCTTACAAAATAAATCTTTTCATTGTCCCTTACCTTGAGCATTCACCAAAACAGATGGAATACCGTTCTTCAACCCCACGGACCAGTTGGCGTCTCTAAAATAGAAAGGTTAATTGAGAATTATCTTTCGCTCACTGAAAAAAGTCACAATTTTGCCGCAAGGGCAAAGCCGTGGATGCCATAGATAAACCTTAGAATGCTATATGAAGTAAGGCCCGCAGCTCACTTCTTTATTATGCGATCTGTGGCAACTAAACAAAACGGGGGCATTAGAAAACGTGACCCCTATCACTATAACGAAGGAACCTTCGTTTCGTTCATGGGTTCAACGCAAGCTTGGCAATTAAAGACGCAGAACGTACAAAAAGTATGAGCCGTCTGCTCATTCCCTCAAAAGAAATAACACGATTCCTTGTGCATACTTCTGAGTCGGCCTGATGGCGAAGGCCATATTTTTTTTCACAGCGAAGTTACCAATAATTAAGAACGGCTGTTTCCCGGCAAGAAAGCTCACCGCACCGTCACCTAGTAACCACCGATGCCATATAGATCAGCACATCACCTATAGCCTTGCCTCGCCTCGCTACCATGCCGGCTGGTGTGACGTCATGCCAAACCGCGCATGCGCCATAGCATCAGCTGCGAAGGAGCTTCGTCGAAGCTACCGAGGTGGCTTAGTATAACCTAGCCAAATTCAAATAAAAGTATTTATTGTTAACCGTTTACGCCATTAAATACATCATTAATAGACCTACGGCTCAGGTTCACATTCTCGAGATCATTATAAGAAAGCTACGCCTGCTCATGCCGAGCCAAATTGTAGCCATGAGTGAGCCTAATAACACGTGATTATAACGATTCTCGTGGTTTTACGACCCAAGGACATGACATGATTACGGGGGCGCCGTATTAGGATGAGGCTCCGATAATTTCGACCACCTGTGATTCTTTATTGTGCGCCTAAATCTAAGTATACATGGACCTCAACCAGCCTGAAAAACATAGTGCCTTTCGCGAGGCTTGACCTGCATGACGCAGAGTGAGAACGCGATCAACGGCGGCGATCCGACCCAGCCTACTTGAACAAGAAAGCGGTCGCCATGAAGAGAGAGAGGCAAATATCTCGACTCAACTCGGTGCGAGAATGAACGGGATGCTGAAAAATAGCCTTGCCTAAACCAAGTCTAGCGTTAGTCGAGTGGCATAGCATATGACGGCAAATCCTTCCACTTGGATCGGCCAGCTTCATTATCAAGTCAGAGCGCGGCCGAGTTCAACCTTCTTCATTATTTTTAATTCATGTACTGAAATTCCCGCGTCCCTCTCCGAAAGCTTTCTGCAACTAACGTGGTTGAGCCGTACCTTCAATACAGGAAGGACTGTAGGCCTTCTGTACTTAAATTAGTTAGCACTGCCTCTGTGATCGGCCAACCTTTGGCCAAGTAATGATGTCGTGTAAAGACTCACCATGGGAAGTATTGTTGCGCGATGTCATGACAATGGTATGACGACGTCACATTCTGGTGATACATGACGTCACTTTGACGTCATGCCGGGATGTCGACGCTTGCATGAGGATCAATTGTTCCATCACTCGTGTTGGCGCCACCGTGCGGGACGCCGGTCCCTTCGCGCGTTTAATGAGGCGTCTAAGACTTTCACATTAATATACGTGCGTGACAGCGGGCCGCAGTTCCCGACCGGTCAAAGTATGCATTTATCGCCGGAGTCCAGCAGCCCTCTTCTGGCACCGCTCATGCACCTTTCGCAGAATTCCTTACATGGCAAGTTTGTTCATAATCTGGAAAAGCTTTGCGAGCAAAAAAAAAAAAGGGCAGATCCTACATATCTGGGAATAGATGATATGCGAAGCATGCGGAGAGAAAGTGACCGTGTTGCTTTTTTTTTATTGAGCGACACGTCATCAAATGACGCTAAATATATGTACGAACGTCGTACGCACAGACATATGATCAAGAGTTGCAGATGTTTATATAACCAGTTGTTTGCACTTGCGCAACGATGCCGACTGGAGCATGCGTATTAGCAACACCAGAAGCTGATATGAAGCACTGATACTCCGAAGATGCTGTCCCTGGACACTGCTACATGAATCAACTTCAACGCATGGCGCCTAACCACAACCCGACGTTAACCCGACGTGACGGCTGTATCAAAGGAATACACATGTAATGTTTATAAAATTGGGCAGGCAGCACTGCAGCCACTATTGACGTTTCACGAAGATTACCCTCTATTTGAAATAGTTCCCAGACCTGGCGTAGCTCTGTGGTATATAATGCTTCACTGACACGCAGAATGCTTGAGTTCGATTCCTGCTGGGACCCTGAAATTTAATATTTGCATTTGTCGGGGAGTCAACGCTGCCAATGTCATGTTTTTCTTAACACTGACATTCATTCTATGCCTCGTTGGGTCAACGCTACCGATGTCGGGTATTGCTTAACGCTCGCGCGTTAAAATTGCCCGTGTGTCGTTCCTGAGTAGATACTAAGTGTCTATCACCTGTGGCACATACCAGCATACCCGCCCGTGGGTATGTGCCACTGTCTGGCGGCAAGTGTTTGACGACGTACGCGACGGGATTGTGATATTATTCATTTCCTGACCAGCGCGTCGTATTCGTCGAACCATTTTACACTCACAGAATTTTAGGGGGTGCCGCAAGAGCAGAGCGACTGTGTTACTCTCCCCAGAGCTCTTTACTCTGTGGGGCAGTAGCGAAGAGTTGGCCGCGGAACATACTCTTTCGTTAAATGCACAGTAAAAGAGACTGCGAACTCTCTGCTGCTCAAGTGGAGTTCCCAGTTTATGAAACTCTCACACCGATAAGGCGTGAATGGAATCTGGCGATCCGTCCTTGCTGACGGAGTACAATCGAGCACGTGCATGTTACCACCGACGCCCCAGGTGTAAGTTTAATACGTCAAGTATTAGGATAACTTTCAGTGATAACAAAATCGTGCTTGTGTGATCATGAACGTTTAGTTCCCGAAGCGCCATCACCAGCACCTTCGAAGCAAGGCACAGCGGCAACATCTAAAGCGTCACCAAAAGTTAGCTTACGGCACAAACAAATTGCTAAATTAAGGTAAAATAGTCGGCATATTGTGTAAAAAAAGTTACAAAAGAAACGTTTAGAGTGGGGTTCGAACTCACCACATACGTATGAAGAGGTGGGTACTCTACCACTACACCACGTTGCCCATGCTCTGTACCCTTCCATGCTAATTCTAGTTCACGCCAAGTTAAGGAGGTAACCACGAGAGTACCCAAGCGTAAGCGGCTGGATAGATAGATAGATAGATAGATAGATAGATAGATAGATAGATAGATAGATAGATAGATAGATAGATAGATAGATAGATAGATAGATAGATAGATAGATAGATAGATAGATAGATAGATAGATAGATAGATAGATAGATAGATAGATAGATAGATAGATAGATAGATAGATAGATAGTTCGGCAGCAGTGCACAAGAAAGGCGTACCTCTGACGCTCAATCTACTGCTTTTGCAGATTTCCCTGCCAAGTCGGCCTACCGAGCCTCGTGGAAATACTGCCGTTTCTTCAACGAACAAGCAAGACACGCTGGCCCCCGGACATCGCTTCGGCGTTTCTGCGCAGCCATTTCGGCGCATGAGCCTATCAAGTCAGCTGACACGGAGGGAGTGACGGCGAACAGTAGAAAAGACGGCGGAATCCTGCGGCTCGCTTAGTTCGGCAGCAGTGCACAAGAAAGGCGTACCTCTGACGCTCAATCTACTGCTTTTGCAGATTTCCCTGCCAAGTCGGCCTACCGAGCCTCGTGGAAATACTGCCGTTTCTTCAACGAACAAGCAAGACACGCTGGCCCCCGGACATCGCTTCGGCGTTTCTGCGCAGCCATTTCGGCGCATGAGCCTATCAAGTCAGCTGACACGGAGGGAGTGACGGCGAACAGTAGAAAAGACGGCGAAATCCTGCGGCTCGCTTAGTTCGGCAGCAGTGCACAAGAAAGGCGTACCTCTGACGCTCAATCTACTGCTTTTGCAGGTGAGGCTAGTCCCATTTGTTTCTCTGGCATAGGAGTGCACTGCTGCCGAACATAGCGTCTTTGCTGTTGTTGTGCATGACATTTTGGAAATGGGAAGTAAGGGCTCTGGAAAAGATACTTCAGATTCTAAAGAGTTACGTGACCTGTTCAGGGCGTTTGAGAACTTCAAACGGGATTTCCGGGTAGAAATGAAGGAACTGAAAGAGGGAGTGTCTTTTTGTTCTGATGTATGCAATGATGTTAAAGACGTCGCAGAAGATATCAGGACATTAAGGCAGGAAATGAAGGAACTGCTTAGTGAAAACAGGAAACTAAAGACAGAGAATGAGCGCCTGTCGAAGAAGTGTGATGAGCTAGAGCAGTATCAGCGTTCAAATAACCTGGAGATTAAAGGCATACCACCTGGTAGTGATGCTCTCAGTATTCTTCAAAAGATTGGGGATAGCGTGGGTGAGACCGTTGACACGTCAGATATTGACATTTGTCACTGGGTTCGCACGCCAAAACCTACAATTCAGAACATTCTTGCTCGGTTCGTCAGGCGTGGAAAGAGGAATGATTTTCTGGCTAAATGTAGAAAGAGGAGATTAGACACTTCAATGCTTGGTCTTAGACCAGGGGCTGCTATTTTTGTAAATGAGCACCTAACTCAAGCTAACAAGGCGCTGCTTTCAGCCGCCATCCAAAGGAAAAAGGAAAAACAATGGAAGTTTGTCTGGACTTCTGGTGGTAGAGTGCTTGCCCGTAAGGATGAATCTTCTGCTGTGGTTAATGTGACCTGTCAAGATGACATAGAAAAAATGTGCTGAGTTTGCTGAGTGTATCTTGCGTGTACCAATGTTGTTTTTCGTTGTTCACTATGAGTGTTTTCAGTGAAACTCATAAGTATTACAATGTTCTTGATTTAAAATCGTGTTATCCACAAAATAAAAATTTCCTTTCTGCTTTACATGTGAATGCCAGGAGTATTAGAAGTAAAATAGACGACATAAGCATTTTTCTAGACACCGCGGCAATAAACTTTGATATGCTCATGTTCACTGAAACGTGGTTAACCGATGATAATAATGTCCCAAGTTTTCCTGGATATCGATCTGAGCATCTTTGCCGCGCGGACAGAAAAGGAGGCGGAGTCGCAATTTATGTAAAAGAAAAATATACCCATGAAAAACTAGAACTGTCGGTAATCACAACAGATTTTGAATGTTTGGCTATAAAGGTTGATAAACTTGTAGCGATTGTCATTTATAGGCCGCCTCAAGGGCACAAAACACGTTTTTTAGATTTTATAGACACACTCCTATCTTCCCCATTACTTCACAACACTTCTTATGTTATCATGGGGGACATTAATATCAATCTTGCTGCAAACGATACGCCCGCCGTACATTTTGAGACACTGCTTTCTGCGTTTGGTTGTGCAAATCATGTATGTTCCCCTACCAGAGTGACCAGGGACAGTGCAACATTACTCGATATATGCGTTACAAATTCGAACCCAGCGGAGATCATAAGCGGTATCGTGTCAAGTGATCTTAGCGATCATTTGCCAGTTTTTTGTTACATACCCTTGTTATTGAAACACCAAAAGCAACAGAAGGAAACCTTCGTCCGACGCAACATAAATAGTGAAAGTAAGAACTTATTCTTTCAGCTCGTCAAAGCAGTAGATTGGAATGATATATATAAGATAAAAGATGCTGATGAGGCCTATAATGGTTTTTTGAATGCATTACGTCACTGTTACAACACGGCATTTCCTAGGAAAGAAGTCTCTTTTCAAAAGAGAAAAACTTGCCGGAAACCTTGGATAGACTGCTCGCTTTATAAACGTATTCAAATAAAAAATGGCCTTTTTAAAAATTTTTTAAGCCTACGAGAACCCGAAGCATTTGCCGAGTACAAAAAATACCGCAACGCACTTACATCAGACTTAAAAAAGGCTAAACGAGAATATTATCAGAAAAAATTTCAGAACATATGTGATAACCCAAGAAGGGTCTGGGAAACAGTGGATGCCCTTACTGGGAGAAAGAAAGCAAGACATGACATCACAGAAATGCAAGAGGAAAACGTGGTGCTGCGTGGAGAGAACCTAGCCAATGCTATAAATCGTCATTTCGTCAATGCGGGCGCGTATAGTGGTTTTTCTGAAAGAGAAGATGACTCGTGTTTCGAAGAAACAACAGCTATGCAAAATTCAATCTTTATGCTTCCTACTGACAGTGCTGAGATAGCTAACCTAATAAAAAAACTTAAGAGCAATGTGACGCCAGGTATAGACGAAATCACCGCAGCTGAACTAAAGTTGATATGTCCGCTAATATCCGAGGCGCTTGCTTACATAGTAAATCTTGTACTGAAAACAGGCGTGTTTCCGGCACAGTTAAAAGTTGCAAGGGTAACCCCAATTTACAAAGGAGGTGGCATTAATAATATGTCAAATTATAGACCCGTTTCAGTACTCTCGACATTATCAAAGGTTTTTGAAGGCGTTATTCACGACAGGTTGTTATCCTTTTTCAATAAGTATGGCATCATCACAACATGTCAGTATGGTTTTCAGAAAAACAAGTCTACTGAACAAGCGTTAACGATTATTAAAGATCAAATAATTACAAATATGGAAAATAAGAAATTTACGCTTGGTTTATTTTTGGACTTAAAAAAAGCCTTCGATTCAATACATTATGATATATTGTTACGGAAACTATCACGGTACGGCATACGTGGGGTCACCCTTAAGCTATTACAAAACTATTTGCATAACCGGTACCAACTAGTACAAATGAAGACAGCCACATCAAGTCGGCTTCAGTTGACCCAAGGAGTTCCGCAGGGTTCTATACTGGGTCCTTTGCTCTTTTTGCTTTATGTTAATGATATTGTATGTATACCCGCCTCACCACAGCTTATTATGTATGCAGACGACACAAATGTATTTTTCACATCAGATCACTTAGAAATACTAGAAAAAAATGTAAATGAATATATGACGTCACTCTCAAACTGGCTTAAACAAAACAAGCTACAGTTAAATGCCAAGAAGACGACATATATTATATTTCGCCCAATAAATAAACATGTTAAATATGACATAAAGATAAGCTTTGACGGGAACATCATAAAACGAGAAAAACATCAAAAATTTCTGGGGGTATGGTTCAGTGAAGACTTAACGTGGAATGTCCACGTTAATCATTTAGTTAGGCAACTTGCGGGAACGGTAGGATGCCTGTACAGAATTGGTTCCCTCATTCCTCAGTGGCTGAAGAAAAATTTGTACAATGCCCTATTCTATTCGAGACTTTGTTACGGCGTACTAGTATGGGGTACCACAACAGCGAAAAATTATAACAAACTTATAATGCTACAAAAGAAAATACTTCGCTGTTATGAAAATTACCAGGGTAGAATAGACCGTTTGCGCACTTCAGTGCTCTTTGATAAACATGAAATCTTAAAGGCAAACCAAATATATTATTTTAAACTGCTTCAAGAGGTACACAAAAATAAGTGGTATAAACAAAAAGAAAATGACCAACGTTATCCTGCAAGAAGAAACTTACAGCGTTTACCGAGAACCAGGACAAATTACGGAAAGCAAACACTGCATTACCAATCAACGCGAATAGTAAATGAATTCCAAAATGGATTGCAGTTTGACGTCAGCCTAGGGACATTTAAAAAACAAGTTAAAGAAATTTTGATCAAAAAAGAAATAACTTATCATCACTAATCTATATTGTGTAAAAAGAGTAGGTAGAATGTTAATGTTAAGAAAGTAAGTAGTTCATTATGGTATACGATGCATCCATTTTATGTTCCTGCATCTGTATTATGCTAAGTGTATTATATGTTGCTTGTTTTTTTTTTTTTTTTTATTCCTGTATTTCTTTTGTTAGCGCTCATGTGGTACATGACATGTTAGTTTTTGTTGCTTGTTTGTATCTGCAAAAAAAAAAAAAAAAAAAAAAGTGCATCTGTGACGAACTACAGGTGCAGAGGCCTTTGTCAGGCGTATGAAACGCCTTTTGCTTCTGTATCCTTTTTCTTGCTTTTCAAGAAATAAAATAAATTACTACTACTACTACTACTACTATAGATAGATAGATAGATAGATAGATAGATAGACAGACAGACAGACAGACAGACAGACAGACAGACAGACAGACAGACAGACAGACAGACAGACAGACAGAGAGACAGACAGACAGACAGACAGACAGACAGACAGACAGACAGACAGACAGACAGACAGACAGACAGACAGACAGACAGACAGACAGACAGACAGACAGACAGACAGACAGACAGACAGACAGACAGACAGACAGACAGACAGACAGACAGACAGACAGACAGACAGACAGACAGACAGACAGACAGACAGACAGACAGACAGACAGACAGACAGACAGACAGACAGACAGACAGACAGACAGACAGACAGACAGACAGACAGACAGACAGACAGACAGACAGACAGACAGACAGACAGACAGACAGACAGACAGACAGACAGACAGACAGACAGACAGACAGACAGACAGACAGACAGACAGACAGACAGACAGACAGACAGACAGACAGACAGACAGACAGACAGACAGACAGACAGACAGACAGACAGACAGACAGACAGACAGACAGACAGACAGACAGACAGACAGACAGACAGATAGATAGATAGATAGATAGATAGATAGATAGATAGATAGATAGATAGATAGATAGATAGATAGATAGATAGATAGATAGATAGATAGATAGATAGATAGATAGATAGATATAAATAGATTGATTGATTGATTGATTGATTGATTGATTACCGGACGGGCGGATGGGCGGATATATAGATACTCACACATAGAACATACGCTACGCGAGGTGATGTTATCGATGTGTATTTTATACGAACATCGGGGCGACGACAAAGAGTGACTTGTGTGTCCATATAAACGCTAGCTAAATAAAGTTTTCAGTTATAACTTGAAGATTGATTCATGCAGTTTTGAGGAAACTGAGGTGCCAACACTACATCAACACCATGGCCCCCAAGTTACGTGCACTAGTACGAGCCCGGTTCAGCGATTGAGTACGATGCTATATTACCACCTCACAGAGTTATACATTGCAAGCGTGGGTAATGCATTAATTCTTGTTGTTTTTTGGTGGTATACAGGCAGAAAGATATAGTACTAAATAATGGATAGCGTGTGCTCTACACAGGACAAAGGAAGCGCTTGTGTTGCGCAACAGTGTTGTTTCTTGCTTTGTGAATCTGGGCTATCCAGTATTTAAGGCTGTGAGCCAACTAGCCGAACAACAAATTTATCGAGAGCATATAGGCCTGCATTTACAACAAGGCAGCATCATAGCATGTGACTACCACAAATATTCAATCCAAAATCAAAATTCTAGGTCTTACCTTTTTTGCTTGCGATCGGCTCCTTTTTTCGTCTAGAAGAATATTCGAAGCAAAAGTACAAACGAACGTGACACATTTTGGTATCAGTTCAGTCATTAAAAAAACATACGGGGACGTATTAAACTTTCAAAGAATGTGGTCGCGAAGCCAGTAGAGGGGCCCTTGGTGATTCGGAATGAAACTGAGCCTACGTGGCGGCGTTTATAGGCACCGCCCAAATGAGCTGTCATTATGCGACAACAGTGCTATTATACCCACTGCGTGGCTAGCAAAAGCTGCCGAAATGGGCCCTGCTCCGACCTATATTACAAGGAAACGCGACTGGCGCAGATTCCCCAGCTTAGACACTTGCAGGGGCCATCACCGCACCACCTATGTGTAGCGCGCTTCTCACTTTTCTACCAATTTACATGTTTTAAAGGAGCCGTGCGACACTTTTTTCAAGTAGCCATGAAATGGATTAGCTAAAGAAGCTTATTTATTGCCTCATGAATTCACCGCTGCAAATATTTTTTTAGACTCCGTCGCCCCAAATTAAGGCGCCGTATCTATATACGTTAGACCACATTCTCTGGCAGTGCCCTTCGATGGATTTGTGGGGTTTAACGTCCCAAAACCACTATTTGATTATGAGAGACGCCGCAGTGGAGGGCTCCGGAAATTTCGACCACCTGGGGTTCTTTAACGTGCGCCCAAATCTGTGCACACGGGCCTACAACATTTCCGCCTCCATCGGAAATGCAGCCGCCACAGCCGGGAACAGAACCCGCGACCTGCGGGTCAGCAGCCGAGTACCTTAGCCACTAGACCACCGCGCGGGGCTGGCAGTGCCCTTCATCACGCGATTCTCGGCACATGACCGAAGAGGAATGGAGCTGTGCGCTCAGGAGCTCAGAACTTGCACATCAACTCTGGACTGTCCAGAGGGCCCACGATGCGGCGGTGAGGCTCGGCCTACCCGTTCCGACGTGGGAGCGGCTCGCTGCTCTACCTCCTTGAGGTAGTGTTCCTCAGAACCATAATAAAGTTCTGTGTCTGTCTGTCTGTTAGACTCTGTCCAGTACGCGCGGAGTTGCCGAAATTTCTCGCGCGCTGCTAGTGCATTCCCTCTTCTCGTCCTGACGAAAGCACTGGAAGCTAAGCAGGGAGGGGTTTGAGTAGGGTGGAGTCTTTTGCCGAGAGAAGAGAGCAATTTTTAGCTGACTTTGAGAATTCAATGTTAATTGCACGCCGCATGCTGCGCTATATTATTTGGTTTGCGTGTTCTCGGTAGCCTCGACCACCGATCGGCAGCGTTTTCTGACAATGCGCAAGAAGTGTCGCAGGGCTCCTTTAACGGCGCAGTGGCTCCATGAGCCATGACACAGTCACCCACCAACTCATTGTTTTCGGTGAAAAAATAGAAGAGGGTCTATTGTGCCGATACATATACAAAAAAATTGACATATTTCACATCGGCTATAAGCGACGCTTTCCGCGAGCGCCTTTCTAGGGTGAGAGTGCTTTCACGATCGCTTTTCTCCGTGGCAGAAAGAGAATGTGGGGTCATCGTATGATCGTCACGGCGTATAGTGGCAACCTTGCTGTGCCGTCATGAAGAGAATGTGTGCTCTGGAACGCGCTTTTCTTCATCGCCACCAGCGTCATCGTCATCAGCATGATATAGAGGGGGTACCTTGCATATGCTGTGCCACGGAGGCAGAAGCTTCATCGTCATGGCGTGACTACGGCGGACATGGCGCGACCCTAAGGAGGCTCGCCCCTAAAAGGGATACGAAGAAGGCCGCCCAGCTCCGCACTCCCTTCAGGCTCGGCTTTTTCAGGCTCGCCTCTTCTACACTCGCGGGAACACCTCAAGAATCAAGTCCTTCAACTGGACGCACCGTTTCGGCGCGCACTTTCTTTGGACTACAGTTTCTGTACCTCACCCAACATTGAAACATGCATTTAAGGGTTCATGCGTAAAAACACTATGAGCCTTGGTTACTCGGCAGCCTTTGCCTGATGTTGGTGATGAATATTTACTATAGCTACTTTCTACCTATGCATATTCATGACATACTTGTGTCATGGCTGTCTGAAAGTGTAAATTTATTTAATGAGTTAAAGTAGCAGCACGCACAGAAAAAAATGTATGCTGCAGATGTCATAAGTTCAGTCATACAAACACGAGGTCTAATACTGTTTGTAGAATACGAGGATGAGATAAAGAGTCGAAAACAGAACTGAAGAAGACGAAGGAGCGCGCGCGCAGCAGACACTGAGCGTAGAGCAAGTGTAGTTGTGTATAGGCGCCCGGCAATTCAGTTTACGAGATCTGATGGTAGCGCCAGAACACACAGCCCAGTGGGTAGGCGCAGCAAAACCGAGTCTTCCAGTGCGTAGCCTAGCGAGTAGACGCTGCAAAACCGGACTTGCCCGTGCATATCATTTTCTTTTTCAGTTGTGAGCAAGGAGGTCACGGCTGATTATGTAAACGCCCAGGAAGCGTTCTTTGAAAACATGCTGAAGAGGGCACGGACACTTCATCGCGTCACTGTGTTCAGCGAGCGTTCCATTTTCTTAGTATCCCTGGCGGTCGGTACCAACAATGCTGAAGTGGCCCAAAGAGTTTCGTCGCGCCCTCTTGTCCACTGTCGGGTGCCTATAGTAGCGTTCGACAAGTGAACATGCGTGTATTTGTCTTTTGATCGGTGTGTCTACACATGTTTTGTGGTCCTTGACTCTGTGTCCGAGAGTCCATGAACCCCCCACATGTTTTTATACTGCGCATATTTCTCAAAACAGCCACGGTCACTAAGCAACGTGGAATTATATAGTTACGTACCCGTAACCGTGCGCCGTTTTTCAACAGAAAAATTAAGCCCTGTTACAGTTACGATTATAGTTTGCGTGCATCTAACTACATAACAACCTTGGTCGAAAGCCGATTCAATTGTGCAACACCACTACTACAGTTCTGAATTTTACAGTGGTTATTATTATTATTATTATTATTATTATTATTATTATTATTATTATTATTATTATTATTATTATTATTATTATTATTATTATTATTTGAATTTTGCGTCCGCAAATCACGACACCATTAAGAGGAACATTCTAGTGGAGGGCTGTAAAAAGTTCGACCACCTGGGGTTCTTCAAACTGCACATAACTCTCTAAGTGCACGGGTGTCCACCATTTCGCGTCCATCAAAACCATCGCCGCTATTCGATCCCGTAACCTTTGAGACAGCCGTCTAGCCACGTGACCACCTCGGCGGAATTTAATTTCATGACGTTGTTGTATCAATGGCGCCTTACTTACCCTGTCAATGAACTGTACAGTGTGACTATACTCAGGCCACGAATACTTTATAAATGTGGAGGTCCAGCAGACATGCTTATTGTTTTCTATTATTCCATTCACAGCTCTCTCTAGGGAGAGTTTTGCCCGCCCTTGAAGCAGCTGCAGTGAAAATAAAACGAGAAGTTATTCAGTACTTTTCCGCTGCACTTTCTGTCTCTTAAAAAGAGAGTGCGAATGTTTCCTTCAAGATTGGAGTTTGAGTTCATTTAACAAAACAATAACAGTGAATTTACAAGGTGTGGTGAAGAAAACGGAATAAAGGCTGCGTCAACCCCAGTTGAACTAGCTTCGTCCCTTTCCCAGAATGTGGCAACTAACATGACAGCTAGAAAGTAAGTAAAATAATAAATGGCAACAATAATAACAGAAACGATTTTATATCGCAAGACATCTGCGCGGGAACACTAGCAATATTCAGTAAGAGTTATTTCTGCGCAAGTACACTGAGAATATGCGGTACTTCAGAAAATAATTTCAGATAGTTTTTTTTCTTCGTGACAACCGTCACAAGCTCTTCGGTGGCGGAAGTTTCTTTAGTAATCTCGGCACACTGTTATTGAGCGTATGAAAATAGTAGTTGGCACGCGGCTGCGGAACCTAGTCGGGGATGTTAGCACTCTAGGCCCCAGAATTTTCTACGTATGAAATGAAGGAAATTAGTACTTCGTACTATTCGTTATAGCCGTTGATGAATGTCTTACATCAGTCTGCATTGCCTGCATTAAACAAGGCCATTTACAACAGGCCGTTTTAAAATTTGGAGGCTCGTGCCGGGGGCTATTTCCTCGAATTCCAAAAACGGAATGGTATTTCAGTAAACAGCGAATCACTGCAGTGGTTATTTAGCACAACTGCTCACCTGTCTCCCGCTAGTTGGCAAACCTTGTTTGCAACAAAGCTCGGCCTCCAAAAATTACTACGGAAGCATTTCCATGTGATACCCCGTCAACACCTTATTCGTTAAGCGATGAGTTCAGCTTAACAAATCAAACGACCAGATCTCCGAAAATATGTCATTGGCGTTTTCTGGCTACATAACAGCAATCGCTGCAAATTGCTATAATCACTAAAACTATCCGCGGCTGTTTCTTGTAAGGATAACTCAAATTATGGCTAACATGGCTAAACTATATTTGACTGGTACATGAATTAAGGGGCTACTACCCTCATGTTGTCCTACGAGGAATACAAAAAGAACGTAAAGCATCATCCTAAACAGAATTATAATATTTTCGACATGTACTCACCAGCAAACTAATCTAGAGACTCAACACTATATTGTAGAAACTATTGTATAGAATACAATACGTCAACTAGTGCTGACATGTCGTACATAGCAGCCAAACCTCGATTGTGGCTTTATTGATGACGAATAGACTTTCAATGGGCGTGAATCCTCTCAAAATATAAACTTGGGTTCAGACTCCGGAAATTCCACTGGGAAGACTGAAGAATGGCGTAGTTTCTACAATGTCGCGCAAGGTTTAAAATAAAAAAAGTGAAGTTGTACGCAACTGTATGCTCTAATCTCGTTTCGTCAAAGTTGTCGCTAGGTGATGCTAGAATGTTTCCGGGCTGCTCCTCAGCGCAGGCAGGTTAAACCTCACTCAGTCGCAGACACAACACGCACGTCCGAATTCCAGGGACAGGAACTCGCCCTAAAACCATGCGTTTGAATCTCCCATGGGTTTTGGGCCACGTCGTCTTTCGCTGAGGTCAGCTATGGGGTTTTCACACAGCCACCGTTACTTTTACCGTTCCCTAGTATTATCTCGTTACGCGTAACGCTGATTAACTCCGTAATTCTTCAGTGAAGCTGAAACATGTTGCCACGGCGTTTGTCACTGGATGAATTCCGAAGTGTAATAAAGTATTTCTTCATTGCTTGTTACGTTTCTAGCCTAAATATGTTTGTTTAATTGTGTCTGTCGCCCGTATGCTGTCTTGTTAATTTTTAATAAACCAGCAGCGAGTAGAGAGATTTACTGAATTTCCGTGGCGCATTCCACTTCACGATTCGCTTTTGCGTGCACATTTGTAGACGCCAAGGTATTCGCCGGACTTCCATAGCTTCGCTGTTAAAAAAAATGAAGCCAGTTCTACACCTGAAAAGTCTTAGTTAGCAGCGGAGCTGACGAGCAAGCGTCGCATCCTAGCGAAGAACGCAATGAGTCAGGGGCGTAGCCGAAATTAGCACACCGGGCCCGTGCCCCCCCCCCCCCTCCGAAATTGTTCCTCCATGGCATGGAGAGCAAAAAAACCACAATATCAAGGTGGTGGCCCCTCCCCCGGGACTTCTTTTTTTCTCGGTAGTCGGCAACGCTGTCTGGCGGGGCGGAGGATCGAGTGTAAAGTTTAGTGGAGGATATGAGACCGTATAGGCAGGCTTCATATCGAGGAAGACGTCACGTTGGAGTGTGTAATAGAGTGCTTGAGAGGATGAAAGGAGCAACCAGGCGTCAAACAATGCGAACAGTGCAACAAGTCATTCGTCTCAATTTTTTAGTCGGTTTCAAAGGACTCAGTCATAATTTCTATCGTCATGCGCCACCGAATCAAGACAGTGCGCACGATGTCAAAGACGCGTATCACGCGTATTCCGTCTCTCCGCAAAGTAATGATTAGTGACACAGTGGGTGCTCCCACGCTTCGCTAAAATTGTTAATATTGGTGGCATAGTAGGTACCCAGCTAGTGTGCTTGTAGCAGTTACCCAGAGTGTTTAGAAAAGGCTCTGAAAGGCCACCTTTCTAGCTTTCGTTGTGACTGTGCTGCGCGTTCCACGCAGGCCTGGTGTTTTTTTGTTGTTGTTGTTGTTTGTTTGCTTCCTCCGCATTCTCACTTCACACTTCCTCACTCTCGCTTCCCCTTCCCGCTCTTTGCTATGATTGGCAGCGCCTCGGAAAGATAACCTCTTTGAATTTGAAGGCTGCATTACACCTTCAGCAAGAGTCGTGCTTCGAACTGCGGCATATTCTTCGCCCATGGCAAAGCACCGCCTATGCGCCTCACGCCACGTAAGCGCTGTAGAGATTTTTTTTTTGGCGGGGGGGGGGGGGGGGAATGAGCCTTAACAATACTTTGTGAGCAGTGTAATCTATCTCTCTCCATCTCTGTGTGTGGGGGGGGAGAGGTGTTCACTATTGCAGACATTGTAATCATAATCACCACCTTTCATCTGGTGTAGTATGTCAGGCATATAGTGCCAGGTTAGCATCTTCAGGACAGATTACTGGCCTAGTTGGTACTTGCTTAATTCTGGGTTTGCCCTCAGTCTGCTTTAGTTGGAAGTGCCACTTGTTCTAGTCTTTGTGTGTTTCTTTACTCTGTGTCTGTGATATTTCGTGGTTAAAGTATCTCATTAGCATCTTCTGCTTTCCATGCAAGCATCTCTCTCTCTCTCTCTCTCTCTCTCTCTCTATGCATGGCTATTACACGCTGGGAGCTACTTTGCATGGGCATCCACTTTTTGTGGTACATATTAGCCCATTTGTCTGTCTACGACACCGGCCTTACTCCGAGCTTGAACAGCTATGCCGTCAAGGGGAGGTCTAGCCGAATTGCACTAAGCAACATGCTATTGTGACGCATCAAACAAAACTTAGAAATTGCCAAATATATGATTGAGTGAACGTACAATAAAGTGAATCAAGAGTCATTCAACTTGCACCAAACTCCCTCCTGTAATAAAAGCATGCAACGAGGTACTTACTATGTACTATACGATAGACGCAAGCACTACATACAAGAAAACGGAGGGACGTAAAATGCCTATGTAGAGCAGCAACCTAAATACTGCAACACGTAAGTTAATATCTGACTACTGACCACAGCTTTAAGTACGTAGAAGATTTCAATATATAAAGGCAAGTAATGTAACAAGGGCTGTACCTGTGCTTAGAGATAGTGTTTAACGATTGAGCGTACTTGGTACTCTACTGAGAGCATAAAACCTTCCCGGTAAGCTTCATACGAGTTTTCGACATCGGCTAGTGGAGTCAAACATAAAGTCGTGCTACTGATGTACCCTACCTTTAAAAGCCGCCATTCATGTTTTAGTGCCGCGAGTGGACTTCAAATGCTTGTCCTGTGGACAATATGCTCAACCGCCACCCAACCCTACTGATCAAAGTACTCTTTTTGTTACTTTACATCCTTTAACCTATAATATCTCTAAAGGTAAGGTAAATAAGTCGTCGGAAGCTACATTCGCTCTAAAATTTAACTGCTTTCACAGATCCCACAACATATTGATAATTTCGAGGTTTCACTTGCCTAGACGACGTGCCGTCGTGAGGCACGGTGCGCGTGAGGGTTCCAGATAGTTCAGGCACCTGTACTTTCGTTAAGATGCCTCGACATCGTACAAAACACGCTCGCTTGCCGACGTCTCGCATTACTATATAAACACTGTTTAGAAAAACACTCGCTTACAGTGTGCACCACTTTTTCATTCTATGACCGCCATTTTACATCGTTTAGGAAACTCAAGCCGGTATATCAGTTCACAGTCCGTTACGGGGACTGCAATGTTTCACCACAGCGCCAACACTCCATCCCCCTGCCCTCTATTTGACTAGCCCCAGCCCACCACAAAAAAAAAGGGGGAGAAGGGGGGCACACGAATTAGCGGCGTAAAGATTGAGAGAACAGAGGATGTGGTAGCCTCTGTTTTCCTAAATTTCACTGCACTGTGCGATGGCTATGCTGTGGCTCCTCCCCTGGATCCTCTTGTCTTCTTTACCCTTACACCACGACTCCACACCCCACGGGAACTCGCTCGCTGTATTCCACGCCGACTGGTTGTGCCCTCGCGATCTCCGACGGCAGCGTAGCTCTGGCCGACTGGGCTGGCCCTACGCGATCTCCTGACGCCGATTTCCGACGACAGCGTAGCTCTGGCCGACTGGACTCGCCCTACGCCATCTCCTGACGCCGGCAAGAGCTCTCGTCGAGTGGTGCCCCATCCTCGGACTCCTGCGACCATCCCTATCTTTCCTATGTTCTCCTTACTTCCATCGTTCGCTGTCCCTGTGCGTCGCTCTCTCCTTCCTTTCTCTCTATCGCTTTACCTTTTAATCCTATCCTTTTAATCTCTCCTTCACCCCCATCCCTCGTGAGCTACTGTTGAGGTATCCTCTCCCTGAGAGACAGTTACGGGGCTCACTTTTCTCTTCTTTTCATTTAAAATCACTTCCCGGCCCCCACATCCTCACTTCCTTTGCCTATCACTCTCCCCTTCTTTTCCCTAGGACAGAACAGAGAAGTGAAAAGGAGAGAGTAATGCATGCCACGAAGAATGAGGAAGAGTGGAAGCGAGAGAAATAAGCATGGAGATGAATATAAGAAGGAAGCAAGGGAGAGTTGGAGACAGAAAAGAAAGGGAAAAGAAGAACAACGAAAGATACTAAAAGTGATATGAAATGAAAAGAAATAGAAACAGTTTGTCTATTGTGACATCGAACTCTAACAAATGTAGCGCAGATGTGCAAATATTTGTTCTGATTTCCATTTTTGTTGTGTTATTAATTATATCTAACAGATAATCATGCCAAGGAAAGTGTAGGGGATGCTATATGAGGTAAGTGTAATGTAAATGTAAAGAAAGAAAAGTGGATGAAAAGATAACTTGCCGTGGCCAGGGCGCTGATTGACACTCCCACGTTTAATTCACATATATACTCAATAAAGTGGAGGGGAGGATGGGCGTCGTGGTAGCTCAGTTGGTAGCGCATCAGACGCGTTATTCTGAAATCACAGTATCGGTCCCTGCCCACGGCAAGTCATCTTTTCATCCATTTTTTTTCTTTTTTCACAGTTGCAGTACAATTACCTCATGTACCATCTCCTATGATTGTCTCTTAGATATCATTAATATTGTGTCTAACTAAAAAAACGAGCCTTTAATTGTACATTTATTTCCTTCATCCTTGCTATGCGTTCTTTTGGTGTTCGAACCTTTTGAATTGTAAAAGCGCCTTACGTATGGAATCTAATAGCGGTCTGGTCGAATCGAACATTGGGTGTTTGAAATATTCGCACACCCCTAAAGACAGCCTCTCTTGATGTGAAATTCAGAAGCATTCGCGTAAGCTTCCAAGGGCCTGCAGACAACCTCCAATATTTCCTGGGCATTTAGTTTAAGCACGTGCATCGACTTCACAACGCTGTGATGGTCAACAATACGAAACTCGGCAGCGCTATGAGGCGCAGACACGTCCATAAATGAAGAAAATCAATCTCTGGTTCTTATACGGATCTTTTGGCATCCGCAGTGTTGGTCATGATGTCATCAGTCTGATCTGGTTATGTCAACAACAAAAACGCATTAGCAGCTGCATCGGTGTGAAATATGAGACCGTGCATATGAACGGCACTCAGTGATTCGAGTACGCAGAGTTCCTTCTGCTTCTCTGGCCAAACTGTCGATGACGCCAATGTTTGCGGTACGCATTTATGGTTACTCCGGCACAAGTATAACCTTGATAATGAGACTGGTGAACTCGTTGTGTGCCGTGAGCGTTAGTTCTTTACGCGCTTTATCGACTTTCGGCTTCTTACGGTAGTTGAGAGACGTCTGCAGCAAGTTGCGTAACGTCACTTCCCTCTCTCAGATGTAGCCTGCGAAGCGCCGAGGAGACAGGGAAATGGCGGGCTACATGATGTTACGGCGCCCTGTCTTGCGTGGCGCAATAGTTAACCACATGTTTCCGAGAGAGAAATGAAGGTTTATTTAGAAACAGTGTTCCGAGCGAGGCCCGGAGTCACCCTAAGGTGGGAGTGTTCCCTAGTCCAGGAACCCTCTGGCTTCGACTGCCTTCTTGGCCCTGGCGACGAGTTGTCGCTGGTCCTCCTGGTCCGAAGGGGTCTTTTTTTTTTGGCGGGGGGGATCAGTCATTTATTGCAATTTTTTTTAGTATATTCTGATTATATATTATATTAGACGTCGTTTATTTTAAACTAGTTTCTAACATTGTTTGCCTTATTTTAAACCTATATCAACCACTTGATTTTGAGAGTGACCACGTCACATGAGATCTACAGATGGCTATAAGCCGGGCCACTAAAGTCTCATGCACTTCTAAGGACCTGTTTGTCGGCTCGCAAGTACCCTTACTCGCCGCTGTGGAGCTCACTCAGACTCACTCAGAAAATATATCTGGCACTTTGGACTCACTCGGACTTGGACTCACCAAAAGTGTCCTGAGGTGAAGAACTTCCTCGGACTCATCTTCATGAACATTTTCTTCAACCGCACTCACTCGGACTGAATCTCGCCAAAACATCAATCACCCGGACTCACTCAAACTCAGACTGATGGCTCGATCTAAGTCTGGGCGAGTCCGAGTGAGCCCATAAGTCACGAGTGAGTTCGCAGACCTATGGGAGCAGCACTCGGCCACTATAGGAGAGACGAGCCCATGGACGCAGCAAAGTGAGGGACATAGAGAAAGAGCGAAGTCCTCCTTTGCATCATCCAGCACGTGTAACGGCATCGTTTCAAAAATTTTCCTGGCTACGTGCTTTGTGTAATACTCGCGTTGACGACATCTGGGTGGCTTGAGGGACGTAGGCAAGCGCGAGACCTCTCCATCGAACTGCTCTTCCCACAAAAGTTAAGGGGCGGGCCATTTGCTGTAAATTTGGTCCGTTTTTGCAGGCGCTACACGCAGGCGCTCCATATTTTTCGGACAACATTGAAACAGCGTAAGCTACGGCTCAAGCATTTGTGCTTCCAGTGCGCGAACCAGGTGACGGTCCCGTTCTGCCACCTCTGGAGGCTTGGCGGCCGTATTTAATGCCGGAGTAGAAGAACATGACAATAGGTGTATTTTTATCGTTACTATAGATTAGCTCCAAACCAAACAAATGCATTATCTCGCGAATAGCTTACGTTTTCGACATGTTCCATGTACTTCTGCTCTTTGGGAGGTATCTTGGAGTAATCACCTATCGAAGAAAGCAAAAGAATGCAGCACTTGAACAGAAATGCCATTGTTTACTACATTAATGCAAGCATGTGAGGATAGTTCCGTCTCAGAACTGTTTTTTTTTATTACCGCGAACGTTAAATCACCGCCGTTGGAAAGAAGGGGGTACATGCTATTGTGAGTTCTGAACTAAATACTTTGGGTAAAAGTATTCATGCTGCAGACTCAGAACCTGACCTCTCACATTCTGGACCGTCCAGAGAGCCCTTGAGAGGGCGGCCAGGTTCAACCTGACCCTCCCCGAGGGGGCCTAGCCAGGTTAGGTGGAGGTAACTTGCGTCTATTGTGGACCGAATAAATTATTTTCACTCCATCATTCACTCCTGATCAAATCATACTTACGCGTTCTGCCCAGACCCTGAAATAATTATAGGATATATGGGCGTCGCAAATTTCGACCACGCGGGGTTCTGTTACGTGCACCTAAAACTGAGTACATGGGCCTCAGGCATATCGCCTTTTTGCAAAGTGCGACTGCCACGACCGGAATTGATCCCGCGACCTTTTAGTCAGCATCCAGCATATCTACTGTAGGACTACTGAGACCCTACACTGAATTGAGTTTATTCTAACTTGCCGCAGGAGCAAAGAGTTGTGAAGTTTTCAGTTCGGTGGGGAAGTTCAAGCTGTGGCCCACTTTCAAGCTGCCTTTGGTAAAATTAAAGAAACTGCTGCTGCCATAGCTCCCAATGTGCTCCAACGGAAAGGGTCAAAGCTTGTTGTGACAGTGTGGTCTCTTTACATAAAAATGACGACGGAAAGAAATAAATCATTATTTGCGGAACTTGTAGCCGGGTGCAGCATCTGAGCACCACGCACGCACATGGCGCGCGTCGCAAGGACACGGGAACTTAATTACTGCAATTATTTCGCGTCCACGTTTTCATTAGCTTTATAGTGAAAGTATTCACTTGTAGTGCATACCTCACTTTTCTGTTGTCTCTCTTTTCATCCCACTAACCCTTCCCTCGTGCAAGAGTAGCAAACCAACCAGCTGTCTGGATAATATCATTGCCCATTGTTGCTACTATTTATCTCATTCTGGTACGTCCCTATTGGTTCCACCACTACTGGCAAGACTACATGGGTTATACTAAAACAGGGCAGACACTAAAACACCATTAGATCCAGTCAATGTAGTTATACAGCTCATATTCTAAAGAAAGTCAATCATTGTACTCACTTTGACCACTACAATGTACCCAAAACACGTGAGCAAGCATGAGAGAGAGGGCGGTGTTTTTGATCACCATCGCTCTCCGCTGAACCTCAAGAAGGAGGACTGGGAAGAATTGTGTGACCGTCAATGCTGGTCACATGTTTCTTTCGAGCCTTTACATAGTGCCCTCAAAACCCACAGTCGATGCACGTGCACATGGAGGCTTACTTACATTTACTTATATTTTACATTCAGGTAAGTTCCTTCTTTTAATGGGGAAAAATGCGGGCGGGCGAAGAACAGGAGCCGTGAGATGGCGTGACCTCAGCGAAATCACCCGAGACCCATTGTTTTAGGAATAGGCTGCCCTTTGATATTTAGCTGATATTTTATAGTATAGAGGTTATAAAGTACAAAGAAAGATAAATAAAATATAAAGTTCAAAGCAAGATATTCTGCTCGAAGAGATTCGGCACAAGGTGCGCATTTCTTGCAGGCATTGATTTAGCTCGCAGAACGATTAACTGCATGTGCTCTCAGTACCAACACTGCCTAGCATAAATTCCGACGTAGCAATCACATTGAGAAAATACCTTTAAATGGAGCACTTTTCTTTAGTTAAAAGTTAATGTTCCCCTTAACGAAATGCATTCTTTCATATCGCACTTGGTTCGAACTATTAAAAAGTGAAATTACAGGCTCGACCTAGACACGCGAAATCCGCGTGCCTACCACATGGCATGTCAGAGGGCAATGCCCTTCGACGAAGTGCGTGACGAAGATTGAAGAATGGCTTGTAGCGGGCGATGGCTATACAGCACGTCAACGGATGCCTTTCAAGCAAACCGCATTCCACTGTGTCATGTTGATTGTCCCGTGCATGACACGAATATTAGGTTAGTGAGGTTATGACCGGCTGACCTGCACTTCATGCAATCGTACCATGCGATGGTAATTTTCGTACGTACAAGCTACATAGATAGATAGATAGATAGATAGATAGATAGATAGATAGATAGATAGATAGATAGATAGATAGATAGATAGATAGATAGATAGATAGATAGATAGATAGATAGATAGATAGATAGACAGACAGACAGACAGACAGACAGACAGACAGACAGACAGACAGACAGACAGACAGACAGATAGATAGATAGATAGATAGATAGATAGATAGATAGATAGATAGATAGATAGATAGATAGATAGATAGATAGATAGATAGATAGATAGATAGATAGATAGATAGATAGATATAGATAGATAGATAGATATAGATAGATAGATAGATAGATAGATAGATAGATAGATAGATAGATAGATAGATAGATAGATAGATAGATAGATAGATAGATAGATAGATAGATAGATAGATAGATAGATAGATAGATAGATAGATAGATAGATAGATGCCTCTTGGTACGTAAACGGGCTACCGACCATTCAGCTTACATTTACCAGCATCAGCACGGCGTGGAGCCCCGTAAAAACATAAAAAAAATCTACTGTTCTTTTTAGTGTTACTAGATGTTTAGCGCGATGACGTAACAGCTCGCGCTCGTAGAAGAACCCGCTGGTGTGAAAATTTCAGTGAAATCGCCGAACTTAAGTACGCGTTTTACTGTTTTCTTCATTCGGAAGAACTTCGTTAAGTGAATGTGTGTGCCGTCATAGCTTCTTTGATACAAGTTGACTAAAACATTAAACCTTAAATGGGCACCTGCCGAGGAATGAAAATGTCTTCGTTAGATCGGATAATTTGTGAAAATCTGGTTCCGTTAGATTGAGTTTCAACTGCATCGAAACAACGATCTAGGACATGAACCATCGGCCGCCGACCGGACTTTAATACATAGAACAGCAAGAAAGCCCAATACCAAAATATTGAGGTTTTTTTTTTTTTAATGAATCAACGTTGCAGATAGTTTGACCAATGTGCCGGCGTCAGTGAACCCGGGACGAGAAATGTTGAAGCAGCAAAAATTATCCGCGATTTGGCATGAAGTGTTTCTCAGGTTTAGCTAGATCTCTAGAGGTAAGCTTTTTACAGAAATTATTTCCTGGGAATGTCACTAAGTAATCCTTAGAAGCACACCAGTGCAAGAAGTAGCTCAAATTCACATAATCTCATAACTAAGATACCTTTTAGGGTATCTTAGACATGAGGAATATACCCTGAAAAGGGTTGAATACCCTTTTTAAGGTGATGTACTTGTTATAGGCGAAAGGCTTTTTTCGGATACTTGTATCTAGCTTCATGGGTGTGTGTGTGTGTGTGTGTGTGTGTGTGTGTGTGTGTGTGTGTGTGTGTGTGTGTGTGTGTGTGTGTGTGTGTGTGTGTGTGTGTGTGCGTGCGTGCGTGCGTGTGTGTGTGTGTGTGTGTGTGTGTGTGTGTGTGTGTGTGTGTACGCACGTACGTACGTACATACGTATGCACGTATGTACGTACGTACGTACGTATGTATGTATGTATGTATGTATGTATGTATGTATGTATGTATGTATGTATGTATGTATGTATGTATGTATGTATGTATGTATGTATGCATGCATGCATGCAAGCATGCATGCCACACACTGATTAAGCCACGCGGCCGAAGTTGAAGTACTTGCTGAATAGTGTTATGAATTCAGTGAGGCGCGATGGTAGCGGTAGGCAAGAGCGGCGAGCAGTCGAACGGACTTCGCTGAAGCCTTCGCCCGCCCAGAGGCGGAATAGGGAGGCAATCAGTTTTGAAAACAGCAACAAGAAGGAGCGTTTACTATAGCAGGTTATAGTTCGTACAGAGTCGGCCAGCAAGACAACGTCGGCTGGGGCAAAATCCCTCAAACATGGGGCCGGCACGGCCTTAAATAACGTTTTGGGTCTCTTCTACGAGACCAGTTCCGGGTGCTTGGAGAAGGAGGTGAAGCTTTCCCCGAAACAGCACGGTGGCTCGGCGGAGGAGGCGACGCTTTGCCCGGAACTGCACGGTGCCGCCTTCTGCATGGAAGGTGGCACTGGGATGGGTGGACCGGAACAGCGTTCGATCTCGTGAGAAGAAGCGCTCCCGAATGAGGACCATGTCTGTGGCTTAACAATGGCGAGATATCTTGAACTGGTGGCTGCTTTTATAGTTTCGGACATTGTCGATAAGAAAGCAAATGTCATGCATATCTTAGGCGTAACATCAAACCGTAATTATTAGGTGATGTTGCTCTACTATAATATACCTAGAGGCGTAATTCTAAAGACCGTAGTGTTTCTTCAGCTGCAACAGAAATGCGATGCAATGCACAAAAGAACGCTGGCAGAAGACTATCATTTTTCGACGACATTTGCAGCGAAACACAGTTTACAGTTCATCAGTTTACAGAAACCAAACTTCGCGCCACTGCTGTTTCTTGTTCTGTATCGGTATCTGATCGTCAAGGGGTGGGTCATTTCTTCTTAAACGCTCTATCCTCCTCATTGGATCTCTGCATCGGTGTTTTTCCGCAAGACGCAACAGTAGGGGAGAGTGTTTTCGCGTTTACTTGGGGAAACCGATCGCTAGCTATTCGAGAAGGCTTGCGCATATCTGCTTACTTTTTGTTGCTGTTTTTGATGCAGTCAACAAATATGTGCTCCTGTCGGGATCTCGTGCACTTCGTACTGTCCCGTAGCCCCTCCCATCATCGATATCCTCCTCTCTCACTTCTTTTTTTCACAACATAAAATCGGTGCAATGCAACACTTAAGCATTCATCTGAGCAACTGTACACTGGCTTTCTAGAGGTCTTTCGGCGGTCAATGCCCCTTCCAGACTGTGTACTAGATAAGCTTGAGCGTTCGACGTTGAACGATGACCCGGACCAAAGGCGTACCATGGTCAGAACCAGATGTCATATCACCCTGTTCGCCCCCTCCTCTCATCGTTGCACGTCACCCCACCCCACCGGTCTGACATAGCAATCAGCCCTCTCCTCTCGGGCTTCCACTTTTTGAAGATTTCAAATTCAAAGCGAAAGCGGATACAACTCTCCACTTGGTCCGGGTATAAAAAGAGCCACTCTCTGATCTGCAAAACCACACATCGCTCCTACACCGGACCATCTCTCCACGAGCCTTAATTCGATCGTCCTCGTGAACGACGTCCTTCCAACCCATCGCCATGAACTCTCTCGTGAGTGATATCCTGCGGCGTCGGCTCACATTCAGGGCCCAGCTGTTCTTATTCTTTGGTTTAGAGAACAGTTCTTTCGATAAGTTCTCGTGCAAGTCTCTTGTGCGCTGTCCTGCAAGAGGTTGATACTTTTTCAGATTGCACGTATACTGTCGGTGATCGCATTTTCTATAGAACATCAGCAGAGCTAGCAAATCTTCGTGGCTACAGCGTGACTATGCTTAAAAAGCACCTATAGTTCTTTGCTTTGCCCCTAATATTTAGCAGCGTAACTTGTTTTAACTGAAGAAAGTAACTATACCGTAGTGCTACAAGTTAATACTAAGCAGTTTGACTGCGTAGAAACTTTTCTTTCGTTTCATCTTCAGCTTTAACTGGTTTCATATGAGTCTATTCTCAACGCATATCCGTCATAGAAACTGTAGGTGTATCAACCATTTTCTGTTCGGAAGTTGAGTCAAACGTGGTCTATATAGCAAACCGCTTAGACGTTCCGTTTCATCTCACGTGTGCCTTGCGCCGTTAAACTTAGTCTGTGGCTTTACACACTCTTCTTTATTCCAGCCATTCCGATGCTGAACTGCGTCCCTCATCTTTCGAGTGTCACCCTCTATGGCGTCCTAGAAAAAAAAATGTCGCACGTGCTATAACATTACCAATGTTGCAATGAACGTGTACCTTGATGCAACGGCACGTACACACAGCTACGTGTGTATTGTACTGTTGTGCCTTGCCATTCCGAACTGTGTGGTCACAAAACGAATTTCCATCATGGTTTACAACGCAAAAAGTTGCGGGCAAAAAAGGAGACCGGACGAGACGTAACATTTTGTACTGTAAACCCCAAATGTAATCCGATTGGCCCAATCTTCTATCTTTATTCCGCATGATTTGTTCCGGCTAACTTCCTTGTCTTGGTGATTTATCCATCTACTATCTAATTTACCTGCCTATATATCTGCTTTTCTGTTCATCTATCCGCACAGCTATCTACCTCTGTAGGTATTTCGTGGCGTACCATCTACTCTTTCAATGCAGACCCTAGCCCT